GTTAGTTACCTCGAAGGACATTATGGGAGATGGTGATTACCCTTGTGGCCTTCTTCCAGGCTTCCTGGAGCATCCGTTTTGTCACTTTTGGAAACTGGATGGTGGGCTAAAGGGAAAAGAATCTGAAAGTGCTGTGTGCTTTGGACCACACCAGATACACCCCCCCTTTAAAGAAAGGAGTATGCCTTAGATGCACTAGCGTTATAACTGGCCTAAAGTTCCATTTTTGTGCAACACACATTACTATGTGATAGGGTTGCCATATGTCTGGGAATTCCTGGACATGTCCGCTTTTGGGGTCCTCCATCCCAATCTGGGGGGAATTTTACATTTTTAAGCAAATATCCTGGATTTGGGTTTGGTTTTTTAAAATGTGGGGGTGGCTGTGGTTTAGGCTCTGGCACAGGTGACCTGGGCCTCTGGCTCTGGCATGGGCAGCTTGGGCTCAGTGGCGATGGAGGGGCTATCAGGCAATTTCCCTAAAAAAAAGTACACAACTTTTTGTGTCCAGATTTTTACCACTTGAAATATGGCAACCCTAGTATGTAATCCCCCCAAGTGAATACTTAGGAATAAGGAAGTAGGAGATGGGCCTAGGCACAAACTAACCTCTGGGGTTCCCAGCTGCTACTGGAGGACTAATCGTTACAAGATGCATCAGGGCTGTATTTTGCCCAAAGTTGGCTTTTCGTGCATTTACATTGGCATGCGGGCAGCACTGAGACAGGGCACAGCTTCTAGGTGGTGCAACTGTGTAATTTGGGGTGACCCAAAACTTATTTTTTTGGGTGGTGTCAAATCCATGGTTCCTTGTTTATAAGCACGGTAAGCTTGCTGTACAAGGGGATACTAGGTGATGGTGACATGTACGATTACTCAGTGTTAATGTGAGGTATGTAAACTGAGTTTTCCCTCTGCAGGTTGCTCATGAAGCTCTTTTGTCTAGACATGCTGTCAAGACATTTTGTTAAGAAATTGCACAGCTTGTTATAATGAAGTGGTTAATTGTTCACAACTCTTTCTGCTAGAGCATCACTCCACATGGGCGTAGCTGCCCCACCATATCAAGTAAAAAAATACTTAACTAAATGTAGAAATAATCAGAATAACTGAAATTGAAATGCTTGCTGAGGTCACTTGGATGATGGAAAAAGAGGAGACTGAGATTAGCCATCTTCAAACAGCTGTCCCATGGAAGAAGAAGCGTGCTTGTTTTTTCCTGCTCTGAAGGGTAGGACTCGAGCCAAGCAGAGGTTGGATGGCCAACTGTCATGGATGCAGAGGGTTGGACCAGATGACCCTTGGGTCCCTTCTGACTCTTAAGATTGAATGATTCTATGTTGTGGTGCATTCTAGCAAGGCAACTGGAAACCCAACAGAGTGATAGGCGTGGCTTCCGCGAACTGATCAATCGTGTCACAGGTAGCTCGGTTTTGTGTTCCTTTGGAGAATTGAGACACATCATAGAATCTTAAGAGTTGGAAGTGACCCAATGGCCTTCAGCCGGCCTGCCCAAGATGGATCCCAGTCTTCCTTCCTTCTTCCCAGTAACCCTTGCTCAAGCCTCTCTTTTCCTGTCACCTCACACCCAGTTACCATGGCAACCTTCAAAATGCCCAGTCTCAATCAGGCAGGATTTCTTCCAGGGAGACAAATGAAGGATAACATAAGAAATATTATAGATGTTATAGAATACCAGGAAGTGAAAAAGCAAGCAGCATTGATGTTTATAGATGCGGAGAAATCCTTTGATAATGTCTCTTGGGAATTTATGAAAAACGTATTTGAAGAAATGAATTTAGGAGATAATTTTAGAAAAGGAATTCAAGCTATTTATTCGGATCAAAAAGCAAAATTAATTGTTAATCAGGTGGTAACAGTTGAACTTAAAATACTGAAAGGAACAAGGCAAGGATGTCAGTTATCACCTTTATTATTTATTTTGGTTCTAGAAGTCCTGACAAGAAATATAAGGGCAGATGAAAGGATTACAGGAATCAAAGTAGGGAAAAAGTCATATAAATTGAAAGCATATGCCAACAATCTGGTAATTACAGTTGAAGATCCAAAAAATTCTCTTCCGATAGTGTTAGAAAAAATGCAGGAGTTTGGGCAAGTTGCAGGTTTTAAATTAAATAAAAATAAGACAAAGTTATTAGTCAAAAACCTAACAGCAGTAGATAAAAAGGAATTATCTCATGCTACAGGAATAGAGATTCATAAAAAAGTGAAATATTTAGGAATATGGCTCACAACTAGAAATATCAATATTTATAAAGATAACTATGAAAAATGTTGGAATGATGTTAAAAGGAATCTAGAAATATGGGGAAGAATGAATTTATCTCTATTAGAAAGAATTGCAGCAATTAAAATGAACACATTGCCAAAAACATTATTTTTATTCCACACAATACCGGTAATAAGTAACATGGTATGCTTCAAGAAATGGCAAAAATATATTTCTAAATTTATCTGGAAAGGGAAGAAACTAAGGATAAAATACAAAATACTTACAGATAATAAAAAGAGAGGAGGATTCTCCCTGCCAGATTTCAAACTTTACTATAAAGCAGCTTGTGTTACTTGGATCCAGAATTGGATCAAACTAGAAAACATATATTTGTTAGATCTGGAAGGCCATGGCAACAGATTTGGATGGCATGCGTATTTATGGTATAATAAAGTCAGGCATAGGCAAACTTGGCCCTCCAGAGATGTTTTTGGGACTACAACTCCCATCATCCCTAACTAACAGGACCAGTTTGCCTATGCCTGTAATAAAGGGAAGGTACATAAAGGATTCCATAATCATATAATTAGGAAATCATTGGTAAAAGTATGGGGAAAATATAAAGATTTATTAGAACAAAAAACGCCACGGTGGATATCCCCAGCAGAAGCAATTTCAGTTAAAAGAATAAATATGGAAGGAAGATGGCCTACATATAGAGAGCTGTTGATAGAGAGAAGAAAAGCTAAAGCTTAAGGATTTTGATGAGATAAGAGAATATGTTTATGACTGGCTACAACATTGTCAATTAAATGAGGTTTCTAAAGAAGATAATAAGAAAGGATTTAGCTATACCATATCTAGATTCCAAAGAGAAATAATAGATGATAACACTAAACTTCTGAAGAAAGTGTTTAATATATTATTAGAACGGGAAACTAAAGATGAAGAGGTCAAAGGATCGAGTGGGCACAAGATTTGGGACATAATATTTAATGGAAGACGGAAAAATTATGGAAAGTAAATTTAAAATTTACTGATTGTATATTGTTGAGAGAATTACATGAAGATGATGTATCGATGGTATGTTAAACCTGCTAAAATTGCAAAAGTGTATAGAACAGGCTCCAATAAGTGTTGGAAGTGTAAAGAAAAAGAAGGCATGTTCTTCCATATGTGGTGGAATTATAAAATAATTAAAAAGTATTGGGAAATGATTTATAATGAAATGAAAAGAATGTTTAAGATAACTTTTGTTAAAAGACCAGAAGCATTTTTATTAGGCATTTCAGGTCAAGATACGCCAAAAGAGAAGAAAAAACTGTTTATGTATGCTACAACAGTGGCTTGGATTTTACTAGCCCAAAGATGGAAAAATGATGAAATACCAACTAAAGAACAATGGCAAGAAAAACTGATGGAATATGCTGAAATGGCGAAGTTAACTGAAAGACTTTGAGACAGACAACAGAGATTTCAGAGAAGATTGGGATTCCGTACGGAATCAATGTAAAGAAATGGACTCACTAGCAGGGTTTGAGTAAACACTTACAATTAACAATACAAACATAGAAGCTATAAAGATGAGGTTAAAATGATAAGCATATAACAACATTTACGGTAATTTAAGGATATAACACTGAAGTATAGTATTGCAAGCAGGACAAGTTCTTATGTAAAAAACCAGACGGGGAAGTTGAGGGAAGTCATGGGGGGAGGGTGGGACTCAATTTGTTGCTGTTTGGTATGATGTAATTGTGATAATAATAAAAGAATTAAAATTCAATAAAAATCATTTTTTAAAAAATGCCCTGTCTCTGTTCACACCTCCAGGCCAGGGGGAGGACATTTCTCTTGCCTTGTCAATGACTCTCCATGGCCCTGTCTTGACCTGGTCTCTGGCAGAGGCTAGCCCAGGAATTTCTCTGCAGCTTCTCTTCTCCATGCTACCATTTATTTCTAGGGTTTAGACCCACCCCCATCGGTAAGAATATTTTAAAGTAGTTTGGTTCTATGTTATAAATCAAGTATCATCAATCAATCATTTATTGCATTTGACTAAAAGCCATTACAAATCCAGTTACAGGTACTGCAAGTCGAATAAAAGCTATTAAAATAAATCCAGAAATGTACCTCTATTTACAAGAAAATCAAATTAATGAATCCCCTGCACAATCTACAGCATTGACTTTTATGTAGCTAACACAAATACTTTTAGCGGCTTTTTGCAAATAAGGCTGTTTTATATGTGAGAAGCAGGTCGCAGTCAGTTAACAGCCAACACATTTTCACTTCAGGGTTGTGTTTTTGTAGCGGTGCCAACATCTGTTCCAAAAATCTCTTTCTGGGGTTTTGACAGAGCCCACCATTGAGTATGCAATGGGAAAGATCTTCTCCTTCGCCTCCCCCCCCCCCCAATGCAAAGTCTTAAATGCCTTGGAACAGAGTGGCGTCCATCCAAGACCGGCGGGGCCTCGGCCAGCTGTTGCTTCTTTTGCTTTCCAATGTATTTCTTCTCGGTCAAAAAGGCAGGCCCGGCCCTCGCAAACGGTGATGGCGAGATTGTGGCCCAGAGAAAAAAGTTTGAGACCCGCCGCGCTCGCCAGTTGGCATCCTGGGAGCAGCTGGAGGAGCCGCCCGAGCGCAGCCACAGGGCCCGCCTTCCCACGTGCGCTTTCCCGCGGGTCTCCGCCTCCCGCGCCGCGACGGAGCCTCCCCCGGGCGGCAGGGGGCGGAGCGGGCAGGTCCCGCCCGGCGGCTGCCTTCGCTTTCGTTTCCTGGCGGCGAAGCACTGCCCCGAGCGCCAGAGCGTGGCGGCGTTGGCTGCGCGGGCGAGCATGTCGGACCCGGCCGTGTCCGGCTTCCTGACCAAGCTGCTGTGCGCGCAGGGGGGCCGCCTGGAGCGCGCCGCGCTGGGGCAGCAGCTGGAGCTCCCCGAGGAGCAGCTGCGCCAGATCCTGGAGGAGGCGGGCCAGGAGAGGTTTCTGGTGCGCGCGGAAGGGCCCGCCACTTGGGTGCTGGCCGTCTCCCCGCTGCGCCTCTGCGTGCGCAAAGAGTGTCCCGGCTGCCCGCAGCTCCACCTCTGCAAGCTCAACCTCAAGGGCCGCTGCCGAGCCAGGTGAGCGAGGGGCCTCCTCAGGCACTCTCGGCAAGGACGTCGCAGAAAGTGCTCTTGGGGTGGGGATACCACGGCCATGCGCCAAAGGGGCCCTTGAGGTGGGGTATTGGAGGGAGCAGCCTGGCAGGCGGGGCCCCTGACTCCCACACAACACAAAACACTCTTGCTGGGTGGAGGTGTTATTTTGTTTTTTATCTTAGATTTTGGAAATGTACATCCAGGCCCCCCCCATAAGTTCTTTGGGGGCCCCCAAGAGAGTGGAACCCTAAGCTATAGCTTGTTTAGCATATGCATAAATCCGGCACTGGCCATACCAGATGCCTAATGGGTCTCTCGCTTTATTTAAAATGCTTATTGTCTTAACAATAAATAAAGGTGGTTTGGGGTAGGACTTGGGAGGCCAGATCCCCACCCAGCTGTGCGGCTCAGCCTCACCTGCTGTTATTATTAAAATTGATATGCCCAACGATCACAGGGTGGTTGCCAGGAGACAGAGGACCAAGCACATCATCTGAAACTCCTTGGAGGAAAAGGTAGGGTGTATGGGCGTAGCCAGGGGGGGGGGGCGCAGGGGGACAGAATCAAATCTGAGGTTCCGCCTGCCTAACAAAAGCCTGCCCCCCCCAACAAAAATCCTGGCTATGCCCAAGGTGGGATGTAAATGCAATAAATGGTTAAATCCAAGTGCTTTGGATTCCACTGTTACTAAGAGTTAACCCTGTACTTAAATCTCAGAAAGTTAAAAGTGCTTAACTCTTCCCCCCCCCAATGGTGTTCTCCTTTCTAACCGTTTATGTTTCTTTAAAATATTAAATATCTTCTGTAGATAATGAGAGCCAACAGTGCTATAATGATGAGATCAAGCCACCCACAAGCTCAGGGATTTTGGCATCTTACTGAAATCCAAGGGATTTGGAAGTGCTTCCAGTAAATGCCTTTCTGGAACTAGATTAAAATGGGGGTCAAATGCTCTTGACGATGCTTGAGTTGCAACTTGTAATGTTTATCCATACCCACTCAGAAACAATACTCTAGCCTGAAAACTAATGTCATGCCGTGGCCACTAATCAGTTGTGCGGTACAGTATAAGGTGCTTTATAAATCAGAGTGTTTGGGCTATTTAGTTTAGCCCTGAGGGTGGAAGACTGATGCTGACTAGGCAAAATAAGATGGCATGCACACATTACATTTCAGGTACTGTGTTTATGTGAAGCTAATGGGCCATCGAATCTAATGCACACCTCAAATTTCAAAACCTTGAAACCAAAAAAAGTATTTGCTGGCGCCATCAAATCTAAAGTGCACCCTAATTTTCATGACATAATTTGGCCAGAAAAGGTGCGCATTACATTCAAGTAAATACGGTATCCAGGGAACTCACAGAGCTACAATTCCCAACACCCTTAACAACCATAATTCCCAGGATTCTTTGTGTGGGAGGCAGGTGCTTTTAATGTCTAGTGTGGATGGAAATTTGTCGTTTAAGTTGTAAAATCAAGCCTGTTTTCGAACAGAGTTTGTGGCTGGACATATACAGTGGTACCTTGGGTTACCTTCAGGTTACATACGCTTCAGGTTACAGATGCCGCTAACCCAGAAATAGTGCTTCAGGTTAAGAACTTTGCTTCAGGATGAGAACAGAAATCGTGCTCCAGCGGCAGCAGGACGCCCCATTAGCTAAAGTGGTGCTTCAGGTTAAGAACAGTTTCAGGTTAAGAACGGACCTCCGGAACGAATTAAGTACTTAACCCGAGGTTCCACTGTACTCTGCTTTGGCACTCCTGCATATAATACTGGACCCTTCATTTAACATTCAAAATAGTTGATAATTATGTTTATAAAATGGCTACCTTCATCTGAATGGAAACTTGGTGAGGAACCACCCATGTAGCTTCTGTGAGGGTCTGATGATTCATCATTTGTGAATCCTGCTGCCCCCAAGTCACATGAGAAGCGAAACTGAAGGCAAACAGAACTAGCAGGAAGGAGCAGAAGGGCAGAGTCTACAGGTGTTAAGTTGCTAGGGAGCTGCTGCGTTTGGCTTAAGTTTCGATTCTCATGTGAGCTGGGCTGGGAAAGGTGGAGCCTAATCTGTGCTGGAAACTAAACAAGCCTTTTAAGTACAAAGGAAGGCAGATCAGAGAAGGAACATGTCCGACGCTGTTGTGTGCAGTTTCATCACAAAGATCCTTTGCTCTAAAGGAGGGGGCTTGGGCTTCAGTGAGCTCCCCTCGCTCTCGGGGCTGCCTGAGCACCAGCTGGAGGAGATCCTGCAGGATGCAGGGAAGGAAAAGTTTCTGGTTGTCCCCCGGGACTCCTTGCGCCAGGTGCTGGCTGTGTCCCCAGTGCGGCTCTGCCGGAGGGACAGTTGTGGGGGGTGCGAAAACCTCCATATCTGCAAGAACTACACCAAGGGCAGATGCTTCAGGCCGGCTTGTGGCAGATGGTGAGTGCGAAGGAATGAGAGAATCCGTTGTTATGGCACAATGATAAACTGAATAGCAGGGAAATCAGCATCTTACAGAGGGAAAGCTTGTGGCTTGGTCTGTCAGGCCCCCTCCTTGCTCACCACAAACACAAATGTGCCTAGGCAAACTGATTTGTGACAAGGAAATCCTCCAACTTTGAGGATACACCAAATTGCTGACTTTTTTTCACTGAGTGAACTCTGGCTTCTCAGGTTTCAGCAGGCATTGCCCACCAGTGTTTATCAAGCTTGAGTCTCCAGCTGTTGTTTGACTACAACTCCCATCATCCCTAGCTAGCAGGACCTGTGATCAGGGACAATGGGTGTACAGCTGGCGACCCAATTTTGAGAAACACTGGCTGACACGCTTCCTTCAAGAGTATCTAAACGACTCTAAAGTGCTGAACACCTGAGTTTTGTGAGGGTTTTGAGAGAAGAAATGAAAAGTGAAGTTCTCAGAGAATTGAATTCTTTGCCCACTTCCACATTCTATACTTTTATGTACACCTGCAGAATTGCAACATGTAAGAACCCCAGATATGCCACAATAGAAGTACTACTTGTATTTAGATAATTTTGCCCTGAAGCAGAAAGGGATGCCTAGTCCTTCGGCACCAGTCTCAGATTTTTTTCCTTTTTCTTCTTTCTTTCTTTTTATTTGAAAACAATTAATTTTATACAGTCTTAACATCAGAAGGTTTTACAATGATAATAACCGAAATACAGTCAAGAGCATATCTCATATGTTTTCAGTAGGTAATGGGTATGGGGCGAGGGAGGTATTGGGGTGCATCTGGAAAACTGTTAAGGATATATATGTGACTTAAGAGGTTAAAATGATGGCGTCTAAAGAAGGAGAATAATATAAATGAAGAGCAAAACAAAGGATTATTTGAAGAATTTGGTACTACTGAAAACAGTGTCAGATTTTCTAGTGTCAGCATTGCATGGGATTCCAAATACAGTTTCAAATTCCTATGTGCTTCCAGCAACAGATGTTTAGCTGTCTGGGTGACTACTACATGACAACTGCTTTTCCCCCCACTTGTATTTTTTCATGAGTGCAACTCAAAGGCACAAACTACACAAGCCCTTGTAGTCAGTGTTAATGAATTTTTCCTCATTTTTTCTGAGGTGGAGATTTTGTGTGACTCATAATATTGTTGATCCAGGGTTGATTTGCTTTGTACAAAAGCCTTTTCTTTTCTTTTTTACCTATATAACCAGTCCTGCAAGGAAGATTTCATGAGTCTCCCTCTGCTGATCCATCCAAGCAATGTTATACATTCTATTGTCCTAAAGAAGCACTCTGAAATCCTCCCCACTTCCTTAATTTAAGACTAGAATGAGAAAAACACAACATAGCCTGAGGGGTTGAAAGACAAAGCAGAGAGATCATGCAGTTAACCCATGGCTGGTGAACCTGTGACCCAGATGTTGTTGGACTCCAAGTCCCATCAGCCCCAGCAAGCTTGGTCAATAGTCAGGGATGGTAGGAACTGGAGTCTTAACAACATTCTGTAATAGAACAGGCTTCCCATACCTGATCTAAACAGTCGGGTTGTAGCAATTCTAAAACAAGTGGTCCCTTGATATAGAATGAAGAAGGTGGTTTTTTTAAAGTCTGAGCTGTTTGCTTGTGCTTTTAAATACCATCGTCACTAATCTCTTGGGTTGTTCTTGTAAAGTATCCTGTCAGTCAGACTTTGACCTCGGTTCCTCAGAATAAACACTGAGCAGAGTTTGTTTCTAGGGGCAAATATTCAGCTTCTGGATTGTTTGGGCCTTGAATCAGATTCCAAAAGGAGAACCAAGAGAAGACTCAATGGATTGGAATCTGCCAGAAATAATGCATTAGGTGCAGACACTGAAATGGTACCTTAAGCTGAAATCTCACAGCATGAGAATTGGGTGGAAGGTATTCAGTGCGATTACTAATTTACCAGCCTTATCAGTATGGCGACTGATGTGTGTATCTAGGAGGAGGATTTGCATTTTGGAGCAACCTTGTGCAGTGCTGTGCAATGCTGACCACACAGTGGTGGAGAGCAGGCTCTTCCCTCCCCACAGCAATAGACCCCCAGGCAGTGCTTTGCCTTCAGCTGCAAGAGTGAGTGGCAACTATTCATGTAAACGAGGCACTCAAGGACACGGTTGTGGCACAAGCTAAGCATTCTCTCTGCCATTGTTGATGTTTGCCATGCTGAGGATCTTCAAATGTTTTACCTCACCTTGGTATTTTGTTTCTTGGTCACTTAAAAGTAGGGAATCTATGGCCTTTAAGATGCCTTTTTCCACAACTCCCATTGTTCCTGACTATTGGTCAAGCTTCCTGGGGCTGTTGGGAGTCCAAAAATATCTACAGGCCAAAATTTTCCCAACCTTGGTGTAGAGTATGCAATTTGGAAAATGTCTTCAATAGAACAGAATAGATAATGCATTTTTTTTAATAGTACATTATTTCAAGGAACTCAAGTTATTGTACAAATTCAGGATTTGTAGCCTACAAAAAAGTGAAGGGTCCTTGGAATATATAGGCTCTCACTCCACATGTATATTTCTGATACCTTGATTATGATTTTTCTCCTTTTACTTTTATCCCAGGGCATGCAAGTATTCTCATGAAGTTTTTTCAGAGGCCAACCGAAAAGTCCTGAAGGCTCATGAACTTTCTGGGCTCAATGAGAATGAACTGCGTGTTCTCCTCCTCCAAAATGATCATTTTCTCTGGCCTGATGTAAGTTATGAAAATACTGTAGCATCACCTAGATGTTTGTTTGCCCTCTTCTATAGGTTGCCTTTTTAACTGGTTAAGGTGAGGAAACAGAATGGATGATGACAAGAAAATTGTAGTAGAATTTCTGCATCATGAAGTTAGATGAGACAGGGTTAGCCACATTTGTTTAATCGCGTTTCTGTCCCACTCATGTGTCAAGAACCTTCTCTACAAAATATGTGCATGTGTAACATGGTCAAAATTCATTGACACAGGTGACACATTACTTATTTCAAGCATAAGAAGAGCCTTCTAGACCAGGCCATCTAGTCCACCATCCTGTTTTCACGGTGGCCAAGCAGATGCTTATGGGGAACCTGGAAGAAGGACTTCAGCCAAACAGCATTCTCCTCACTTGTGATTCTCCTCATCTAGAGGAAGGCTGCCCCTGACAGGAGAGGCAGAGCAGAGCCATCGTGGCTCGTAGCTCTTGCTAGCCTCATCCTCCGTCAATCTGTCTAATCCTCTCTTAAAGTTATGCCACTCCCAGGCTTGTTTGGTTTGTTACCATGGTGTGTATTTTTATATTGAAAACCACCGTGTGATCCTCAGAAGGACAGTGTACAAATTTAAATTTAAAAGTAAGTAAAAGCCTTCCAAGTTGCTGGCCTCACTGCTTCTTGTAGGACCAAATTCCCCTGATAACTATATCCTTCACTTTCTTTTGTTTGTCCTAAATCTTCGAACACTCAGAGTTTTTGGGCGTCCATGAGTTTTAGTGTTATGCGAGAGGGAGAAAAGCCTCTGTGTCCTCTCTGTCCATGCCAGGCAACATTTTATGCACCTCTGTTGTGTCTCCTCTTTACTCTCCTTTACACTGAAAAGGCCCAAGTGGAGTCTTTTAATTGTCCTTTTCTGAAACTTTTCCTGGTTTATTTTTTGTGACTCAGCAAGATCATAACATTTCTTTCAGGGGGAAAAATCAGATGGCCCAAATATCCAAACATAGAATATTTTGCCATAATTTGTGGAAATAACTAACTAACAGCATGTTCACAACAAACAGTAAAAATCTCCACTGTCTTCAGTGCCTCTTGAAGAGGGTACTCTCTGTAGGCACATGTATGCATACACAAATGAAGGGAAGGCCGAGTCCTCAGCCACATGGTGTATTCTCTCCCTCCGGAATTTTGAAGAGGCCTCCTCTTGCTGCTACTACAGTTTGGGTTTGTAATCAAATTGCAGACTAATCTGTCAGTATAACCCCTGCCACATGCCTTCTTCCTTATGTGGAGTTTCTGTTGCCTGATTAATTGCTTGAACACTTTTTCCATAGGAAGAAGGGAACTCCAAATGCAAAATTGGCATGTTGAAGAGAATAGTTCAGCTCATCTGCAATTATACTTGCTGTGTTTTTCAAATATCACCCTGTGCTCTCCCTGCTATATATTCTGTAATATCACTGGATGCTACCTACTAGGGCTGGGTGATATATCAATATATCGCCCCAAACCAGTTTGAAGTTCATATCACCATACTGGTTTCAGAATTTTCGACCTGGCAGTTCATCGCAAATCATGGTGTGTAGGTGTGCTATGCAAAAACCATGTCACGGAAAAAACTGAAGCCAGCCAATGCCTCTACATAACTCCATCCATTCTTCAGACATCATGATATATCAGTATAGCACAATGTTACCTGGTATGGTATCATGTATGTCTGGGTATATGAGGAGCAGACCACAGTGTCAGCTTCACTCGGTATATCGCTGGTGAAACCACCACTGCTGAGTCCCTTTGCTAGCGACTTGCTCCAGCGAGTGTTGCTAGCAGAGGGACTCATGAGAGGTGGCGGTTTTACAAGCAATATATCGCTGAGTGAAACTGCCATCCCACTCTGCCCTCATACCATCCAGAGGGAGAAAAAAGTGCACTGGCGAAGCGCCAATACAGCTTGTTCCTCCCTCTGCATCTTTAATCTGCTCGGCTGAGGAGAGTGTGGTTGCCGCTCCCCTCAGCAGAACAGTTAAAGGCTGACCGAGCCCAGCACTGCCTCCCGCACAAGTGGGGGGAGCAGCGGGGATGGCTCTGCTGGGGATACAGAGCCCTTCCCGTCCCTGGCAGAGCCCCGTTGCTCTCCCCACAAGGAGGGGGAGCACAGGGGATTACTCAGCTGGGGACCAGGAGCCCTCCCATGCCCCACCAAAGCCGTACAAACAAGCTGTGTTGTCCCACAGCCCACTAGGCACTGAGGTGAAACAGCTCCTGCGGCGAGGGCTGTGGCAATTTCACCCAGCGCCTTGCAAGCTGAGGCCAATGCAGCTTGTTTTTTCAACATTGCGGCATATCGCCAGACCACAATGTTTGGCTGGCGTTGAAAAGCTGAAATCGCCCAGCCCTAATACTGTGATGCTGACAACCAGATATCTCCCGGCCCTACTGTCTATACATTTTAAAAATATATCTTTGCAACCATAAGCAGGAAGTCTTCAGCTTCTGTATGTGATGCAGCTGCTAAGGATATTACCAAAACTGGTGTATTTGTCCACATTACCTGCAATTCAGACCAGTGCAGTATTAACTGAAATTCTTGTGTGTTTCTTACTTTCACTTCCTGTTTCCAGGTATGCAATTTCTACAATAAAGGGGATGGGAATTGTGCCCAGCAAGACAATTGCACAAAGCTTCACATTTGCCGGTATTTCCTGAGAGGGGAATGTAGATTTCCTAAGTGCAAGAGGTCTCACAACCTTTTGCAACCAAATGCTCTGAAGCTGTTGCTCGAAGGAGGAGTGGATGATCAAGTGGCCTGGAACATCCAGACAATCTGCGAACACAAAACTGCTGTGCTGTCCAGAGAACTGGGTCCTCGCAAGGGTGAGTGATTTATAGGAAGGGGCTTGTGGGCATCATGTACGGCTTGCATCACTCTGGCGTGTGAAAGGACCTCATTTCTCCTCATCATTTGAAGCCCTTTCCCATTCTTTTAGGTAATTTTGCAAGACCTGCATCAAGTGGAGAAAAATCAAGTGCAGGAAATCCGAGAGAAGCCAGACTTGAGCAAGGATCTAGTATACCTAATCTCATGGACCTCAACCTCGGCCCTGACCAAGGTGAACCAATTTACTTTCTTAGCAAAGGATCCAAGTTGATTGAATTAGGCCTAAGATAGAATATCTGCATTCTCATGGCAAGATACAGGGATGAGCTTTAGCCCCAATATGCAGTATGAGTCCCCTTTTAAACTTACATTGATCAATTACCAACTACATTTTTCAGCAGTTGCCAGAAATTTGGGTAACGCTGATGTTTTCATAGGTATGTGCCAATAAACTCAGATAAATTTGGGCAATGGCAGAATATACAGTGGTACCTCGATTTTTGAGTGTCTCGGAAGCCAAACGTTTCAGTTTTTGAATGCCAAAAACCCAGAAGTACAGTCGTACCTCGGAAGTTGAACAGAATTCGTTCTGGAAGTCCGTTCGACTTCCAAAATGTTTGGAAACCAAGGTGCGGCTTCTGATTGGCTGCAGGAAGCTCCTGCAGTCAGTCGGAAGCTACGGAAGCTGCATTGGACATTTGGGTTCCAAAGAATGTTTGCAAACTGAAACTCACTTCCGGGTTTGTGGCGTTCAGGAGCCAAAACGTTCGAGATCCAAGGTATGACTATAATGGCTTCCATTTTCTAATGCACCTTGGAAGTCAAATGGTCTTCCAGAACAGATTACATTCGAGAACTGAGGTACGGTTCTGGAGGTCTGTTCTTAACCTGAAACTGTTCTTAACCTGAAGCACCACTTTAGCTAATGGGGCCTCCTGCTGCCGCCGCACGATTTCTGTTCTCATCCTAAAGCAAAGTTCTTAACCCGAGGTAATATTTCTGTGTTAGCAGAGTCTGTAACCTGAAGCATATGTAACCCAAGGTACCACTGTAATATATCCCACAAACAGCGTAGATTGCATACACAAACTGCCACAGTATGTTGCAGTGCTGAGCGCTACTGCTCCAATTTTGTCAGACAGCCATTGTAATGGGTTTGGCTGCACAAATAAATAATATTTGACAGCCATGCTTTGCTCTACTTTAATCTTTTCCACCAACCCCATCCAGCATTCTATGAGTCCTGAGTTCTCCCCCGCATAATGGTGGTAGTGGTGGGTTCTCAAAGCCTGCCGATGTGTCCCTGTTACATGTGGATGGTCCTGTTCTGGACTGGTAAGCACTTACATATGACTACCCTCCCTGTGTACCTCCTTGGCGAGAGATCTGGAGGGCAGCAATATGAGACGGGCCTCCTTGTGGAATGCCTGGCCTGGCACCTTCGTTGCATATCTTTAGGCGCCAGGCAAAAGCATTCCTCTTCTCCTGACCTTTGGCTAATTAAACAATCTGTGGCTTTTAAGCTCTCTGTGTGGCGAGGGGTGGGTATTGTTTTTGTTTGTTATTATGGTTTGTATTTTTGTGTTTTTGTAATCTGCTCTGTGATCTTCGGATGAAGGGCAGTATAGAATTTTAAAATTTATTAATAATACCAACTTATATCAGTTTTATAACAAAGTAGCTGTTGTTGCCTCTCAAAGAATTATTTAAACTAGTTTGATGCTGATTCTGATTTAATTCTATTTGGGATCCCTCACTCACCCAACCCCAACACAGTTCCCGGGTGGGGGGGGGGAGAGAAAAAGGTGCCCCTGGTGCCTTGCCCACTTCAGGTAAGATTGTGGTGGATCACACTCTGTCAGTCTTAAAATTAGGAACAATGCATTGTGCCTTGTAGCATAATTTAGGGTTGATTCCCTGTACTCCTAATTTGCATTAGCCTTACCCTGAACTGACAGTGTTGCTGGCTGCTCTTTGTCGGTGTTAATGTGGCTTTTTCAAAAAATGAATTTTTTTATTCAGAATTTTTATAAAATACATATAACAATAAACTAAGAAATCCAAACAAGGTATAGTGGTGAGCATAGTTGCCTTCCAAGCAAGGCACATATGTGATACCTCTTTGCATGTTTTATCACGTGATTCTTCTTAAGCACGGTTTACTAAAGATTATGTTCCTTTATTTCTCCCCCCATCCATCTTTTACAGGTGTCAAAGCCACTCCTTGTACTAAACCACCTCAGAATGCAGAGAAGGAGAAAAGTGATGAGATATGTCTTTTCTATGTCTGGCGGTTCTGCAAAAATAAAAGTAAGTCCCAACAGACAAGTCCAAGGCCAGGTTTCCATTTAGGCCTTCCCCAGGAGTAATAATGCTTTAATTTGCTTTGCCAACTTGGCTTACATTGCTTCCACCTGCCCCAGTTGCCCACTCAAGAAATGGCCTTGGGTGCAGCAACAGGATCCAGTGTATCAGAACGAGGGGTGAGGGTGTCAAAGAAACTGGAATGTTGGGGCGGAGAGGGGGAGCTCTCTGCTCCCCCAACCATCACATTTGATAGTCATATTATTTGTCTGATGAAAGGATATGCCAGGTATTGATTTGTAAATGCTGTTGGCATCTGTCTGCCTCAAGGCTCAATGGAGTGTGCGCCGGGGGGGTTAAGTCACACCGCTGTGTTAGCAGCACTGAAGTGACCTCCCTGCTGTGTAAGCCTGGGCTGCCCACCCTATTTTTTATTTTTATCTTAATTGAGTAGTGATGCAGCCATTGAACGAGTGACTGGGTGCTGTTTTGGGCTGTTCAGTAGAAGCTTAACCTGAGCAAGGCCTAACGGCTGATGGCAGGCTGCCTTAGGAATGAGGAGTCCGTGTTTTTGCTTGTCATGGATGAGATCAGCCTCCTGAAGCTTCCTGGCCCTGTCTTGCTGCCTGATCTTCAGTGGCAGCGGGGACCAGGAGCACCTCTTTACCAGCTCTGGTTCTAGTGCATCTTCTCAGATAAGAATCTGTCTAACTACCATCCTTGGAATCCTCCTGCTAGATTACTGTGATCAGTGTGAGATGGAAGGAGCATATAGCCCTAAGTTCAAGTCACTTGTACTGCCTCACTATTTGCTTTTGAGTCTTGACTCAAGTCTTGCTTCCGGTTCAGGACAGTGGTGCCTTGTCATTCAGACCATGAATGTTCTTTGACTCTGCTCTGATACTCTGCCCTGTTCCCTGAGAAAGGGGGGGGAGAGAGGCTCTGCTTGATGTTCTCTTATTTCCTCAAATAAAACGGTAAGAGTTTCTATATAGTGGCAACCACACTGTGGCATTTCCTACAAAAATAAACAAGGGTTGGATCTGTGTCCAGACCTTCTGCTCTGTATCCGTTCACGTGCTCATTTGTAAGTCTGCTGTCCTGTTTCCACATCAATGTCAAAATGTCAGTGTCAAAAATAAGAAGACATATAAATTCACTTTTTTTACAAAATATATTTTGTATGCATTTACTATAAAATAAATGTATATGCATCTTAACCTATAATACCCATTTTGATACTTTTTTCATAATACATTACAATAAAAAATTGTTTGTTTGTTTATGCTAAACAAAAGCATTAAAAAGAAAGTGAAAATACAATGTCCTCTTTTGCAGATAAATCTTAACTTGTCCCCCACAGAGAAAGGTGAACCCTCCCAGCTCTCGCCTGGGAACTTCCCTTGCTCCTCCCATCCTCCCCCAGGGAGAGCTTCTCTTCCCTCTTCTGCCACAGGCTCCTTCATCAACTTTCCATCTCCTTCATTTGTGTGTGCCGCGTCTTGTGATCGATTATGTGGGGTGGGGCTTACCTGGATAAAATACCCAGTATTTTATTCAATTTGTCACCCCTGCTCTTGGGTATACATTTGCTGATTCTGCTTGTTTGCTCATATGTTTGTGTTTTCTCTCTTTTTAGCATAATTTGGCTTTTTAATGGCTTTTAATAGCAGCTGTGTTAGCCACTTTCAGCATTTTGTTAAGGAAGATTTAAAACATGCAATGTTTTACAGACACGCAGAAGTTGGACTCTGATTAGTTTTGTTTCATCACCTTGCATATCAGTTGAAGCAACCTGTGACTCACTTTTGCTTGTTCTCTTTGCAGCTAACTGTAACATGATTCATTACGATATGCCTTATCGATGGCAGGTACAGACTGCAAACGGTTGGAAGGATTTCCCCCGAAGAGAGGAAATAGAAAAAGCTTATTCTGACCCAAGTATTACCAGGTATAAAGCTGGTCTTGGTATTCCACAGATATGTGCAGACGTCTGCCAGTCAGCTGGTCCCACAGACATGCTTAAGCTGTGTGGGCAGTTGCTGCAATGGAGGAGGAGTGGTGGGAGGGCTTGCCTGGAAACACTCCCCGCCCACCCCCAAAAGGGGGGGTGGGATAAAGGGGGAAAGAGTCTCTCGCTGAGGGTGAGTGGCTTGGAAGGAAGCTATCTACAGTGAGGGGGGAAAGTATTTGATCCCCTGCTAAATTTGCCCATTTGCCCTCTGACGAAGAAATGACCAGTCCATAATTTTAATGGTAGGTTTATTGTAGCTGAGAGACAGAATAACAACAGGAAAACCCCCAGAAACCCAGAAGACAAAAGTCTGAGATTGATGTGCATTATAATGAGTGAAATAAGTATTTGATCCCTTAGCAAAAGATGACTTAGTACTTGGTGGCAAAACCCTTGTTGGCAGTTACAGAGGTCAGACGTTTCTTGTAGGTGGCCACCAGGTTTGCACACATCTCAGGAGGTATTTCATCCCACTCCTCTTTGCAGATCTTCTCCAAGTCAGGAAGATTTCGAGGCTGATGTGTAGCTACTCAAACCTTCAGCTCCCTCCACAGATTTTCGATGGGATTAAGTTCTGGAGACTGGCTAGGCCACTCCAGGACCTTAATGTGCTTCTTCTTGAGCCACTCCTTTGTTGCCTTGGCCGTGTGTTTTGGGTCACTGTCATGGGTACATCATCGACCCATTTTCAATGCCCTGGCTGAGGGAAGGAGGTGCTCACCCAAGATTTGATGATACATGGTCCTGTCCATCGTCCCTTTGATGCGGTGAAGGTGCCCTGTCCCCTTAGCAGAAAAACACCCCAAAGCATAATATGTCCCCCTCCATGTTTGACGGTGGGGGTGGTGTTCTTGGGGTCGGAGGCAGCATTCCTCCTCCTCCAAACATGGCGAGTTGAGTTGATGCTAAAGAGCTCGATTTTGGTCTCATCTGACCACAACACTTTCACCCAGTTCTCCTCTGGGTCATTCAGATGTGCATTGGCAAACTGTAGACGGGCCTGTACACGTGCTGTCTTGAGCAAGGGGACCTTGCAGGCTCTGCAAGATCTCAGTCCTTCATGGCGTAGTGTGTTACCAACAGTTTTCATGGTGAATATGGTCCCAGCTGCCCTGAGATCATTGACATGTTCCCCCTGTGTTCTGGGCTGCTTCATCACCATTCTCATGATCATTGCAACTCCACGAGATGAGATCTTGCATGGAGCCCCAGACCGAGGGAGGTTGTTAGTTATTTTGTGTTTCTTCCATTTGCGAATTATTGCACCACATTCTCACCAAGCTGCTTGGCAATAGTCTTGTAGCCCAGTCCAGCCTTGGGCAGGTCTACAGTCTTGTCCCTGACATCTTTGGACAGCTCTTTGGGCTTGGTCATGGTAGCTACTTTGGAATCTGCTGGATTGATTGCTTCTGTCGACAGGTGTCTTTTGTACACGTACTGTAAGGAGCTGGGATTACAGCTAAAACCTCTCCCTTACAGCAGGTGCTCCTAATCTCAGCTCTTTACATACAGTGAAGATACCAGGTAGCCTGACATCTGGCTGGTTGATAGGGGATCAAATACTTATTTCACTCATTATAATGCACATCAATCTCTGACTTTTGTCTTCTAGGTTTCTGGGGGTTTTCCTGTTGTTATTCTGTCTCTCACAGCTACAGTAAACCTACCATTAAAATTATGGACTGGTCATTTCTTCATCAGAGGGCAAACGAGCAAATTTAGCAGGGGATCAAATACTCACCCCCCTCACTGTACCAGCTCCAAAAGTTCTCTTTCCCCTCCCCAGTTCATGAACAGTTGGAATGAAGCCTTGGGGAAATGTTCGTTATTGGTTGCTTGATAAAACATGTTGGGAGGGTGTGACCAAGAGTGGGAAATGTGAGCGCTGACTCCTATGTACAGGTTCAGCCCCCGCTAAGAAGCATCCTCTGTAGTGTCATTGCACGAGGCTGCAGAGCTTGTAGGAGAGGATCTGGTTACTTTGAGAAAAGGCACTTTTTGCTTTAAGAAACCACAGGGGTCCAGTGACGGGGCAAAGTTGGAAGACCAGGTACTTGCCTTGGGGGACATTGTTACAGTATGTGCTATGAACCCACATACCGTATTTTTTGCTCTATAAGACGCACCAGACCACAAGATGCACCTAGTTTTTGGAGGAGGAAAACAAGAAAAAGAATATTCTGAAGCTCAGGAGCCAGAACAGCAAGAGGAATCGCTGCGCAGAGTAAGCAGCGATCCCTCTTGCTGTTCTGGCTTCTGGGATAGCTGCGCAGCCTGCATTCACTCAGTAAGACGCACACACATTTCCCCTTACTTTTTAGGAGGGAAAAAGTGAGTCTTATAGAGCAAAAAATACGGTACTACAGAGAAGTTTAGGAACTTTTGCTGGAATTACGACGTGTTTGTTATGAATATGTGTTAACTCATAACCTTAATGCCCACAAGAACACCTCACACCAAAGGAATAAAGAAAGCTTTATTTATTATATGAAATAGCAGTGACAGAATATATAAATGCTGCTAAAGACCGAAAAATTACAATTTAAGCAGGCAGCAACTCCTACAATACACCCCCACCCACCCCTTGTTATGAAAAGTGAAAGATTATTTTAAAAAGCCTACAGAAACGTAGGTGTGACGGTTTTGCTAGCAGGACCCATACTAAGAGCAAGAAATGGAAAGGGAAGAATATACCTATTCTTAAGGCAGAGTGGATGTGCGCTGTTCTTGAGAGTACTGAGAAAAAGAGAGTTCTTCTCTTTGGAGCTGGAATAGGAGATAAAATAGCTACTGGCTACAGGAAAGTTTTAGTAATATTTTTAGCTAATGCCTTTTAATAGGGAAGGGAGGGGCTTTCAAATGAGTAAATTCTGCTCATTTTTCACCTTGTCCATCTCCATCTTGCAAATTAAGAGTTTGGAAGAATTCTTAATTTCTTAAGGAGAAAATGACTAAAACTGGCCATCTTGTTTGCTTCCCACTCTGGTGTTTTGCTTTAACGGTGAAAAACCGTGATCTTAGTAAATGATTAACTGAGCCTTGTCGTCTTTTTGTCTGTTCCTTGATAGCCTCCTATTCAAGTGGGAGATAGACTGTACTTGGGAACTTAATTTGTATGGCATGAGGCATTTCCTGAATGTTGTGATCTGCCCTGAGATCTATGGGTATAGGGCGGTACACAAATTTAATAAATAATATAATGCCTTTAGGATAGTTTTGAGAACAGGCTGGTACCAGGGTTCAAAAATGGTTCAACGTGGAGGGTCTCCTGTCTTAGAATTAATGTCAACCGTCTCGTTTTGCCATGGTCTAATAAACCACAGAAATAAGTTCAGATTCACACCTTCTTGTTCACAAAATAACTTATTTAGAATATTCCCAGTCCAAATGGTCAGGAAATAAAGAGCATATCCCCATGGACTTACCTTCGTCTTCTCCATGCCAGTTCCATCATGGCAGAAAACTTGGGTGTTGGAAGGTATGATGATAATATATATTGGAAGATCATTAATTGTCTAATTAGAATGTGTAGTATTGTATCTGTAAAGATGGTACCCTTATACAATTAGACATGTTCCCTCTTTCACATTCGCATAGTATTTCAGATCCAGAATACATCGATTTCAGCACCATGACCACTTCTATGTCCCGTGTTCGACGTCTGTCCACCCCATCATCTGTCACCAAACCTCTTAAGTTTGTAATGACGACAAAGTGGCTTTGGTACTGGAAGAATGACCTGGGCCAGTGGACTGAATATGGGACACAGGTCAGTATGAATTCTGTTTGTTTCTGGTATTGTGCAGAATGCCTGCTGCCAGGGTCCCTGGACCTGTTCAGACATTACTTCTTGGAGAGAAATCTCAAGCCCATTAAGAGTCTCCAGTTTTTGCAAACAATGAAGACAAAGTAACATTTGATCCATGCTCCTATTTGTTTGGTATCATAAGTGACCCCCCCCCCCACAACTCATGCAAAAATGCTCCTTTGCGCTATAATCCTATGCCCCACTGTGCTTAACTGGGTTTCCTTCCCAACAATAATGTTTAGAATTATACAGCTGGGCTATCAGTATATTCCATTTCTTGTTGCAAGATATCTTTTATTTGAGGATTTCACTATAAAAGCACTGTGTGCATCTAGGGCAGTTGTATTTAAATGACCCCTACTTTCATTTTAACAACACAGTAGATTCTTTTCATTGAAGATAAGGTTCAATTTATAAATTTATTTTATTCACACCCCCACCCCACCCCCACACCTCTCTCTCTCTGGGAGGCTTCATAATCAAAGGTAAACATGCAGGAGTAAGGTATGAGGTTTATGGAAAACCCATACCACTTATGAGCTGTTCTGGAAAGGAGGGAATTATGACATTCCTGCACTTAGACCATGGTAAGAATTGCCAACATTTGACACTCCTGAGCCCAAACCCCTTTCTCCGATTATTGCTGTTTCCCATTTCCTGATCTGCCAAAATCGTGTCGCTTAAGAACATAAGAGTCTGCTGGAAAATATACTTTTTATGGGTGGCTGGAAAAAGCAAAGCTCTTGTAGTGTAAATAGCCTTTTGCCTGCTATCCAGATGCATCTTGTGTTAATGGGGGGGGGGGAGGCAGAGGCCTGAGGGCTGAATGTGGCTCCTCCTGGCCTCTTCTTCTTGGGACTCTGCCCAGGCCTCACTGGTCTTGCTTTGCACATTCCTTGAGTGTCTTTGAATTCTGATAATCTTTCTTGCATTCCTTGATGGAGGGGTGGGGTATGTGTAGAAACTATTCTACTGTACAGAGGTAAAATTGAATCCTCCCGTTTGCTCACTCTTGCCTCTGACTCTCATCCACAAGTGGCATATAATGCCCAGAAAGAAATGCAGTTCTCTGGCTGAAACAGGTTCTCTACTCCTGATGTATTATAGAAATCATAGAATTGCAGAGTTGGAAAGGGATGCTGAGAGTCATCTTGTCCAACCCCCTGCAATGCAGGAATCTCAGCTGAAGCATCCAGGACAGAGGGCCACCCAACCTCTGCTTAAGGAAGGAGAGTCCACCATCTCTCCTGGGAGTCTGTTCCACTGCTGAACAGCTCTTACTATCAGAAAGTTCTTCCTGATGTTGAGTCGGTATCTCCTTTTTTGTAATTTGAGTGCATTGGTTTGAGTCCTACTCTGCAGAGCAGGTGAAAACAAGCATGCTCCTTCCTCCATGTGATAGCCCTTTAGATATTTGAAGATGACTACCATATCTCCTCCCAATCTCCTCTTTTCCGGGCTAAACATACCCAACTCCCTCAGTCGTTCCTCATAAGGCTTGGTTGCCAAGTTCTAAAGTCAGTTTCAGTACTTTGATTAATTTTCATTTGCACTAATGTGCATCCAGTAAGCTGTTTTAGCAGTGTTTGTATTTGCATGCCAGTGGTATTGCATAAGCATTTCATTTTAAATTGGGAAAACACTTGGCTGTGCTGATCCTAATGACTTTCCTGTGGCTTTACTTGTCACATTTCACATTTTTCCTTTACAGGGTGGACAACTCCAGGAATCCAGTCTAGGTTCTGATGATCTGGAGAATTTATTTCTAGCAGTTCCAGAGGGCAGTGTCCAGTTCAAAGCTGGCTCCCAGCAATACGAGATCAGCTTTAAAGGTACTGTAACTACAATGGCCTGCAGTATATTCAAAGTTTCCCAGAATTCCATAGCATCTAAAAGACTAACTCCACCTTTGTATTCCATCGTAACATTTAATGCTGACTATGAAAATACCCACTTAAAGCTTAGAAATGATACACAAAGGAAGAATTGCAAGGGTGCATATAGAATTTGCCATTCTGCTCTCAAATTCCCTTGGAGGTGTAAGACTTTTTAGTTGGCTTTTGGTGGCCAAAGAACAGCTGCTCTGCTTCACCCTTTCCTGTTAGAAAAACAGAAAGTTGGCTTGTGTTCTCTGACTTGCTGAATTAAAACATGTGTCCTCTTTTTCAAGATATGAAACAGAGAAACTTGCAGTATCAAACCCAGAGAGAGGTTCGGAGACGCCCCAAGTTTGTTTCCTCTGAAGATGTAAAGACAAAGAAGGGGTATAAAGTCAACATTTTTATCATCTTTTGCTTTAAAAAGCAGACTATCCAGCATATGAAATTATATCTATCCATGCTTATACCCCAGAGAGACTGAATAATTTCATTACACACTTTGGGAAAATGTGCTGTCTTGTTTTTAGTCCCCTTATGCTACCATAGAGTGTTTGGCATGTGTGGTTTCTGCCCATGGTGCCAGACGATGATTAGAGCCTAGTTTCTCAAACTAGGATTTGGTAAGATGTCCCTGGAACGAGACATGTGAGAATGGTGGATACATAGTTCCAGTGAGGTAAATAAAGAACCCTAGATGAGACAGGCTGTCCCCACACGAACACAAATCCTTGTGTGTTAGCATTGCACCTTCTCTCTCTCTCTCTCTCTCTCTCTCTCTCTCTCTCTCTCTCTTCTCTCTTTCTCTCGCTTTTCTTTCTCCCTCCCTCCCTCCCTCCCTCAACTGCTTGACATACAACACAACATTCAGTATGGGAAATTTCCTATATACAGTGGTACCTCTGGATGCGAACGGGATCCGTTCCGGAGCCCCGTTCGCATCCTGAAGCAAATGCAACCCGCGTCTGCACGTGCGTGATTCGCCGCTTCCGCACATGCGCGACATTTTGAGCGTCTGCGCGTGCGTGAGCGGCAAAACCCGCAAGTAATGCGTTCCGTTACTTCCGGGTCACTGCAGAGCGTAACCTGAAACACTCAACCCGAAGCTACTTCAACCCAAGGTATGACTTGTACATGTATTGATGAGCAGGGGAATCACCTGCAGCTAAAGACAAAATGTATTACTTGTGATAAGTGAGTACAGTGGTACCTCTGGATACGCACACCTCTGGTTGCGTATCCTTCAGGATGTGAACGCGGCAAACCCGGAAGTATTTTTCCGGTCTCACCCCACACACATGCGCAGAAGTGCTCTACTGCGCCACACGCTTGAACTGAACAGGCACCTCTGGTTGCAAATTCCTCGGGATCCGACCGGAGCTCCGGAACGGATCCTGTGCGCAACCGGAGGTACCACTGTATTGTGAAAAAGAGCAATATACAAATCAAACATAACATCAGCTGTCATGTTTACAGATAAAACAGTTTCTTATTGCAGGCGGCGGCAGCCATGAGGAGCTGCTGCATTTAGTGAAAAAGAAGCTGCAGTCAAATATGTTCTCTCTCTTCCCTCCAGCCACACAAATCAGGCTCCAGCGTCCACTCCATTCACAGACTATCCAAACACCTGGGATAAATCAGCACTACCTGCAATTGGGTACAAGGTAACTGATTTACTGCAGGAAAGGAGATAATTTTTCTAGGCTGACACTTGTACATGTCATTAATGCCGTCTATGTCTAGAAAGAAGATACATTTTTCTTTAGTAAAGTGACAAATGCAAACATGCACACTTGTGGGATCTGAACTAACAGTGACTGACAAGGAGCAAGACCTTCAGGGTGTAGAGGATTTCTTAGTGAAGATTTCTGTGGTTTGCCAAGATATTCAGCACTTGTCAGCTGATCGGTGGGTGGGAGACTGGGAACCACTGATATATTAAATGATATTGTGTATCACATTAGGATTTTGTATATTGTATAACTGTTTAATAATATAACAATTTTTAAAAATTGAAGGCAGTCAGTTTTCTCTGGGGCCATGGGAATACATTCAACACATTGTGATACCTTTCATTTTAGGCTGTTGAAGTCATCAAGACGTCTCCTGAATATACTAAGATTGAGACTCTTTTTCAAAAGACAATGAGCAATTATGCCATCGATAAACTAAAAAGAATTCAGAATCCGTCCCTTTGGCAAATCTTCCAATGGTTTGTTTCCATTTTATCCCATTATCCTAGTCAACAGTGCAAACCAGATGTTTGATTATTTACTGAAAAGCAGCATATGATCAGGAGTTTTAAAGTATTCAACAATTTCTCTCCCGTGTGGATCTTTCAAAATCTTCGTCTCTCAACTTGGGGAATTAAATTTTGAATGGCAAACAGCAGAGGGGCGAAGATTAAAACTTTAACGGCTTCTGTTCTTTTTAACTACAAACAGTCCAACTATACTCAGGTTGTTCATGCACCTCATGTCTACAACCTCGTTGGTGCTGATAACTTTGCCTGCATCATATGAAGTTTGGCATGGACTCTTAAATCTTAGCACCTTCACCTTCTTGGCTAAAAAAAAAAAAGCTTTGAGGACAAAACTGGATAACTCACTAATCCTGGTTCTAGACATGGGCACACTGTAAACAACAAAACGTAAGTCACTTGCTTTAGAGTAAATGTAGTTCCAGTGCTGTGATTCCCCAGAAGCAAGAAAAGCACAGAATATGGCATAGAATTCAGAATCTGTTTCCACAAACATTTGCCATTTCATTTCACGCAGTGTGACATCAGTGCATCCGTCATGTGAGGTTATTAACACAGTGCCTATCAAGGACGTCTCTGGGCCGACACTTTCCTAGGTCATGATGGGGATAATAATGTAGATGATAACAATGCAGGGTGGGGGGTTGTAAACTGTACCATAAATGCTAATCTTTTCATATTGCTGACAGAATGAAACACATATGTGGAAGAGTCATTGTATTACAGTCAAGAATTTATGGGGGGGGGACATTTGTTGTGTAAAAAATAAATGAAGGAAGTACTGTCTACTCTCATTGTGATAGCTCAGTACTGAGCTCTTATCTTTGTTCAGCTGGACTTCCTTGGCGATTTCCATTTGTTCTGGTTATCTCCCCTACTAAACTGGTGAAGATGGCCCTGAGAGTGATTACTGCTTGACTCCTCTACCTTCCACAGAGAGACGAGGGCATGGATAGAAACTGGCCAGCTGGAAACTCCCAGAGTGTCTAGGAATCCTTCAAATCTCATTTGATCCAAATTCATGGGACAGATTTGGCCCATCACTCCAGCAGAGGGCAATGGTTGCTGCCTGCCTAAACTTCAACAGGAAGTGAGAAACGTTTGCTTCATTCTAGGCAAAAAGAACAGATGAAGAAGAAAAATGGGGGAAAGGCAGTGGATGAGAGACTTCTGTTCCATGGGACTAATCCTTCTAGCTTGGAGGCCATCTGCAGTGACAACTTTGATTGGAGAATCTGTGGAACCAATGGAACAGCCTATGGAAAAGGTATGAAGAGTGTTAAATAAGATACCAGCAAGCTCACTGTAGAAGCCACCACCCCTGCTAAAAACTAAAATTAAAAAGCTTCAGTAGTTTCCAGGGAAGAGAGAGATAAACAAGGGTATTTCCCATTTGAAATGATGTTTTTTAGATCAATGATGATTTCCCTTACGGATCTGTTCCTGTCTTTGATGTGAAAGTTGAGGACATTAAAATTTGAAAGAGCAGATTTTGGAGTTGTGATGGCCAGGTATGATTAAAAACCTGTCATCGTACAGTGGTGCCTCGCAAGACGAAATTAATTCGTTCCGCAAGTCTCTTCGTCTTGCGGTTTTTTCGTCTTGCGATGCACAGTTTCCCATAGGAATGCATTGAAAATCAATTAATGCGTTCCTAGGGAAACCGCCTTCAGACCAGGTCCGGGGACAGTCTGTCCCCCGACCTCTTCTGAAGGCTGGGGGGGGGGGGGACAAGGGCTTTTCTTCCCACTGCCAGCCTTCAGAAGGCTGTTCTGAAGGCTGGCGGTGGGAAGAAAAGCCCTTCTTCCCACCTCCCGCCCCGCAAGCTCCGGGGACAGGAGGGCTTTGCTGCCGACCGCCAGCATTTTAAAAGCCCCTGCTGTCCCGGGGCGATTTTAAAATGCTGGCGGGCGGGAGCGAAGTCTCCGCTGCCCCGGGGAGATTTTAAAATGCTGGGGGTCGGCAGCGAACGCTTCGCTCCCGCCCGCAAGCATTTTAAGATCGCCCGGGGCAGCGGAGAAGTCTCCGCTGTCCCGGGAAGGCAGGCGGGGGGAGCAAAGACTTTTGCCCCCGCCTGCCTTCAGAAGAGGTCCAGGACCTCGTTCCAATGCCCGGCGGCGGGGTGAGAGGTTCCCGCCCCACCGCCCCGCTTCGGAGCAGCGTTCCGAAGTGGGGCGGCTGGGGCAGGTGTTCCCGCCCCCCCGCCCCGCTTCGGAGCAGCGTTCCAAAGCCGGGCGGTGGGGGCAGGTGTTCCCTCCCCCCCGCCCGGCTTCAGAGCACCGGGAGAAGCGATCTCCCCGCAGCCCCTTGCTTCAAAAGAGGTCCGGGGGCAGCGGGGAAGAAGCGCTGCGCTTCCCGCTGCCCCCGGACCTCTTTTGAAGCAAGGGGCTGCGGGGAGATCGCTTTCCCCCGCAAACCCTTGCTTCAAAAGAGGTCCGGGGGCAGCGCGAAGTGCTTCCCGCTATCCCCGGACCTCTTTTGAAGCAAGGGGCGGTGGGGAGAAGCGATCTCCCCGCAGCCCCTTGCTTCAAAAGAGGTCCGGGGGCAGCGGGAAGCGCTTCCCGCTGTCCCCGGACCTTGGGCTGCGGGGAGAAGATCGCTTCTCCCCGCCGCCCCTTGCTTCAAAAGAGAAGACCCGCTGTCCCCGGGCAAGCTTCGTTTTGCGAAGCAAACCCATAGGGAAATTTGTCTTGCGAGGCAACTCGAAAACGAAAAAACCTTTCGTTTTGCAAGTTTTTCGTCTCGCGAGGCGTTCGTCTTGCGGGGTACCACTGTACAGTTCACCCTCCACCCCAAAAACAAAGAGGAGAGTGATGTGAGTGCTGACTTCACACCTCTCTTCCAATTTAACTCCCTTTCATCAGCGGTGACTGGGAGCCCTGTGACCTGTTCAGGTGGCATGGCAAAGCAGGTGGCTGAGCCATCGCTCTCATGAGCCCTGGGCAGTGATCAGGAATGTTAGGACCTGTAGCTGAGCAACATCTGGCGCCACCTGGTGTGAAGTCCCATTGGCTTCAGGGGCACTTAGCACACACCAGTCTTTCTCATTGAAACAAGTGGGTTTTAAAAGTGCTTAAATTATGAGTTCATTGTGCCCTATTGTAGGTTTTAAAATATGATATGATAGGATATATTATTACATTACCTTATATTATAATTTATACCCCACCTTTTCCCCTGACAGGGATTCTTAGTGGCTTACAGATAAAAATAAGAACAGCTAAAAGCCTAGGGAGGGAAACAATTAAGCACTGAAAGATTTCTTTCCCTCCCCTCCCCCAATCTATTAAAACTATACAAGTAATTACTATAAAAACAGCATGCTACCAGCCCTTCCTAGAAGAAGATTCAAATCCTGTAAGCGCTTGCATAGGAGCAAGTTGCTCAGAGAAGACATGTAGAGTTGCACAAGACAGGTCCCTGCCCAGAGACGTTTACACTCTAAAATGTAACAAGAGACACGTTGAGGGTTGTGCTGTTCATCTTCTTTCCATCCAGCATACATGTTTCAGCCTTGGCCCAGTCATTGTTTGTCTGCCTCACCTCCTTGACATGGATGTTGTGAGGATGCAGTGGGAGAGCTTCCTGTTTTGGCACACTCAATTCCTTGTGGAAAGGACAACATACTGATGTGATAAGTCACACTTTGTGATAAGCTGCCATTGTGGTGGAGAGACGATTGGTTCTCATCTCTGTTCACCCATGAGACTGATGAGCTGCCCTTGGAACAGCCATTGTTTAGTCTCCTGGCTGGTGGTGTGAGGTGCCTTGAAACAAATGCAGGATTTAAACAAGAGAGTCACCTCATTTTTATATAGTTTGATTTTACTATTTTTCAGAGTTTGATCTCATCCTCTATAAAATCAAATCAATCAGATGAAGAACTAGAATAGTGGGCTGCACGTGGGGCAAATCAGTTAATGGACCGTTCACACTTAGTATTCCAATGGATACTTCCGGGATCTGTATGTTGGAAAGTGCCGCCTATCAATCAGACGTGGGTTTCATAGCTTTTATGTGAGAAAAAACCATAGTCTGTTCAAGGCTCTGACTGACACAGACTTGTTCTACCACCTCACGCTCCATCTTATGGTAAAGAAGGGATTCTTTTTAAATGTCCCCTAGTGAGTTGATTGGTAATCACAGTCCCCAACAGTGGTGTAAAGGAAGATTCTAGGATTTCTTTAACAAGCTCATCGCTGCACATCACAATGCCTTTCAAAAATACTTTTTTAGTATCCTATCCTTCCAAGAAGCCAGGTGGTTGTACATTTTTTAAAAAATAAAATTTATATACCGCTTGATTGTAAAAAGCCTGAAAATGTTTTACTAAAAATAAAACTGTAAAATCGAGAAAAAATCACAACCATACTATAAAATATGCAAAAGTTAAAGTACTAGAACAGATTTAAATTACCTGAACTTTCTAAGCATTTGGGTAGGTTTGTCTAAACAAGAAAGCTTTTTAGCAGGCCCTGAAAAAAGTGCCCAATAGGCAACCATGTTCTTATCAGTGCAGAATGACCACTATGTGGCACCTGTAGTAATGCCAGTTTCACCTCTAGAAGCCATTGAGTGGGCAGGTATGGGGTGAGGTGAGCTCATAGGCAGTCTAGTCCCAGGTTGTTAAGGGCTTTATATACTAAGAGCAACACCTTGAACTTGGCCCAGTAGCAACGTGGCCAGCAGCACAGATCTCTGAGCACAGGGCTTAGATGCTGACAAGGTCTCCTCCTACCAGCAGTTGTGCTGCTGCTTCTGCATCACGTCCAGGGCATTTCAGCCATCTAGTCTTGAAGTAACCAGAGAGCTACTGTGGCAGGTACATGACTGTTAACCATTTGGATCCTTGCTACAACCGTGGAGTAAGTGTGACTGGCCGACCCCTGGTCCTTTAGTGAGCTTCCTGGATGAGTGAGAATTTCAACCTAGGCCATCACAAAATCTGCTCATTCAGCCACAGGATTGGGTTGGATCTGTCAGTATATTGAGTTATGGAAGGGACTCGCTCAGCACTTCATGCAATGATTTCCCTCATATTAAAATATAGCACATAATGCTCTCAGATATTTTACTATACAGTTGCCATTGACCATGGACTGGCCCAGCTGACTAATTTCAGCTAGTATTTTTATTCACTTTATTTAAAATGGGTGATAATCTAACATTAGTTGTACTCTGAATAGACCCATGGAAACCAAAAAGGAATCAAATAACTTCATTGTTTTCATTCTTTGAGACAGAGCCATAGCTAGGTGATCTTGCACCCCTGGCAGAACCATCCAGATTGCGCCCCCAGCCAGGGACAAATTAGCTCTTCTTTCTGCCTCTCCTCCATCCCCCCCCCCATTCAATTCATCCTCTATATAAAACCTTTTCCTATGAGGCAATAATAAATATTTTTATTTATGGGCATATTTTTGGCCGATTTTGCACTTCCGTCCCTGGCGGGGACCCACCTCACACACACCCTAGCTATGGCCCTGACTGGGAATGGATCTACTCTGAGTATGGCTTGGTTAGATATCACCTTATTCAAACCATATCAAGGCAGCTTACAAATCTATTAATTCAATGTTAAAATATTCATTAAAATCTGGGGACTATTACTGCATGGAGTACCAAGTACTTCTAGTTGTCTTTGTTTTTAATTCCTCCATACAAGGAAAGCTTTCATCTATAATTTCCTTTTGGTTTTAACTTTTTCCCAAAGACTTAGCAAAAACGCTTGTGGTTTGAAATGTCTTCAGCTGCATAAAGTGTCAGCTGTCAAAACCTGTGTCAGCTCTGTTCACAGCACTCAACTATATGTGTATGGACTTAACGTTTTGAATCCCTGCCCCCTGCGTCTTCCTAGGAAGCTACTTTGCCAGAGATGCATCCTATTCCCACCACTACTGTCCACGTGACACAACGGTGAAGGCAATGTTTGTGGCTCAGGTTCTGGTTGGTGATTTTGTTGTGGGGAATGCAGCGTATACTCGCCCCCCAGAAAAATCCAGTGGCATGATCAACTGTTATGACAGCTGCGTGAATGATGTGGCAGACCCATCAATTTTTGTCATATTTGAGAAGCCTCAGATTTATCCTGCATATCTGATCTGTTATCGTGAAGACAGACCATCAGGTTATGTCACCATAGCAAGAGGAACGACCTCCGGGAGGAGCAACACCCGGGTGCATCTGCAGCAGCAGCACCAGTGGGTGCCTTCATCTCTGCCAGCTGCAACAAATTATGTCCCTCCTGTATCGGTTTCCACAGCCACAGCCACAGCACGCGCTGCAACTTCCACTTCCACTTTCACTCCCACCTACCTCCCGAGACAGATGGCTGCCAACAACAACAACAAAGAAGAAGAAAAGAAATGTGTTATATCATAGACAACTAGATGGCGTTTTCATTGCTGTTATGTATAATTTAAGTACTGAAGTCTTGTTTTGTAATGAATCAGATTTTGGGGAAGCAATAGGTCTCTTCGGATAAGTAAGGAATGTTGAATCATTGCTGTAGGAAGACAGAATCAGATACTCAGTTTGTATCAAGTAGCAGTGTTAAAATACACTGCATGGAGGTTTTACGGAAGCAATAGATCTCTTCAGATAAGAAATGCTGAAATCATTGCTCTTGAGGAAGATAGGAATTGGATATTCAGTTTTTATCAGTTGGCAGTGCTAAAGGACACTGCATGGAGAAAAATGGATAACTGAATAGTCCATTATAGACGAAGCTGTAAAATTGCAGCATTTTTAATGTATCTTACTGGTTTCATATGTTAAATAAAAATAAGTTTAAAGCCATTGGAATGCTTAGATTTCAATGTCTTACGATCTTTTATGGATAAGGTTTCATATGTCAAATGTGGTAGGACACACTGATACATTATTTTCTGTCCTACTAGATTGATATTAATCTGCGTTGTACCAGGGATATATTCCGAATGGTTGTATCAAAGATATTCCTGTGCACTACGGCAGAGTACAACTTCCTGTCAAGCGTAAGACTTGGCTGGTTGTGATACTCTTTATTTCATTGGCCTAGCTGTGAAAACTAATAAGCGGTGTTGGATGGCAAAAGGTTTCTTCCCTTTAGTATTTTAGCTGAGCAATATTATTACGTGCCTTTGATTGATACACATAATTATACATGAAAAATAGTTTCCTATTAATTAGCAGAGCAGAAGACTTTTGACATGAAACTTCTTGTCCAAAGGTGCTCAGCAACTTAGCTTCAGTGCACAACCCCGATAGGATGCATAAAAAAGACTATACTTGGTTTTTGATTTTAATAAAATTACTTGAAATTTTATTGGTTTGTTACTCAATTCTGTTCCCAGCACATCTGTGAGTGGTATAAATCTGTTTGCGGTTAGTGCCGAAAAGCCCCAACCTAGTAGTAACTGAGGCAGTGGGGTGGTGACAAAGAAAAGAATGGAACACTGAATAAGATATAGTCGTTTTGAATTTCCATTCCACTCTTTCTCTACTTTTTAAAAAAGGTGAGGATCTTAAGATTTAGGTTGGCCAGAACCAATGCTACATGAATCAGCATTCTCGGAAGCCTTAAAAGGTAAAGGTAAAGGTACCCCTGCCCGTACGGGCTAGTCTTGACAGACTCTAGGGTTGTGCGCTCATCTCACTCTAGAGGCCGGGAGCCAGCGCTGTCCGCAGACACTTCCGGGTCACGTGGCCAGCGTGACAGCTGCATCTGGCGAGCCAGCGCAGCACACGGAACGCCGTTTACCTTCCCGCTAGTAAGCGATCCCTATTTATCTACTTGCACCCGGGGGTGCTTTCGAACTGCTAGGTTGGCAGGCGCTGGGACCGAAAGACGGGAGCGCACCCCGCCACGGGGATTTGAACCGCCGACCACGTGATCGGCAAATCCTAGGCGCTGAGGTTTTACCCACAGCGCCACCCGTGTCCCTCGGAAGCCTTGCTTGACCTCATATGGCTATTACCTAGCCATATTCAGTATATAATTGGAGTAATACGTAATGTAAATGATAAAAGGGTGGCAAATGGAGTCTGGTAGAAATATACAGAGTACTAAATACCATTTTTAATATAAAATAAAAATATTTTTAATTCTGTAACAAATTCATTTGCAAAGGCAGATCTGATGGTAGAGAATATGTGGGCTCCTAAATTAGCTCCTTCAATCTCACCAGGGATACTTTTTGTACTGCATCCACTTTTCTTAGATGACAGGAAGAGAACTTCAGAAAGTGAGAGAACAAATGAGAAAAATTGGAATGCAGGGTGTAAACTGGCTTTACAGTCAACAAATACAGGTGACTCTCCCACTTTCACAGGGGTTACATTCCAGGCAAGACACACTAAAACGCCTCCAAGTGCCCTCTCTGCCGCTTTCTTGGAATCAAGACCAAAAATAATGTGTCCAAAAAGCCCCACCTCAACTAGAATTGAAGCTCTGGGGCCGCCTGGAGAACGTGAAGGAAAGCTGCTGCTGCTGCTGCCACTGTCTCTGTGCTATGCCCCCCATCAGCTGTTGGGCAGGGAAGCTGAGCAGCCTCAAGAAAGCCCTGCTGCCCCTCAGGTCTCTCTGGGGTTTCCTCCAGCCCCACTGAAGTCGTCTTGGGGCTCTGGGGAGGGCCTTCTCACAAGCCACAAGGACACTCCAGTGCTCTCCCTCCATTTCCAGGTCGGAATCTTATTTCCTGGCACTGCACATATACATGGTCATGCACACATCGATCACACGTAAGTCGGGGGGGTGTCACCTGGAGTGTCTTAAATCACACCCTGAGGTTAAACTGCAAAGTGCCATAAGACCTTTTACTTTATTGGAAAATTTGATGAACATACCAAAAAATCTTTACACTCTTATCAAACAATGAGTTAACAATTGGAGGATGTAACTCCTTGAAACATCGGTGGGAATGAGATTGCAGAGGTAGATTGGAATAATTTGTGGACTAAAAAACCACTAAAATCAGTATCTAAACTCTGATATGAGAAAATACATTTAAATTATTACATGGGTGGCATTTGACACCATTACAGTGTAGGTATATTAATAAAACAATCCCACCTTTGTGCTGGAGAGGCTGCAATAGTATAGGTACAACATTTCACATGTGGTGGGCATGTGAACATATACACCCTTCTGAGAGAGGGTATTTACAGATAAGAGCTATATTACAGGTCAACATGTTGAATGTACCACAAGTTTGGGAACTATTTTTAAAGAAGGGCAATCTGACCTTTGCTATAAAGAACCGTTTACTTTTTTAGCAGCAGCATGCACAGAATAGGAAATGATTGGAGCACCAGTGTATTTCTCATTGGGGGAAAAAGTCTGGTTTATTGCTGTATCAGAAAAATTAACAAAGAGATTACATGCATTGTATTATTCAATATATGTGATATCTTTATTTTTATATATAGATGGTTTTGTTGAACTATTGCATCCTTATATAAAATACTGATAACCCTTCTTGTAATTGTTATATATTGGAAATCAATAAATCTCTTTTTTTAAAAAAAATCCCAACCCACAAGTAATCTCTGTATCTTTACAGTCAAGACTAGATAGTAAGAGCAGCCTTGTCTCTTTCCTTTCTTCCTCTAGAACCTGTACTTTGTACTTATTACCACATTCAAAAGAGATGCTGGTGATTTTATCACTATATCATCTATCTATCTATCTATCATCTATCTATCTATCTATCTATCTATCTATCTATCTATCTATCTATCTATCTATCTATCTATCTCTATGAGATTGTGTTTGCTAGCTGCTTGCTTTTTAAAAAAAACAACATGGCTTTTCTATTGTATTATTTTTCAGTGCCCAAAGAGGATTAGTTTTTGCAAGGTGTTAAGTGTTAATAAAAAAATTCTGGGCCTCTTCAGATGAGCACTTGTAAACTGCTGCTCCCACATCATCTGAGTATTCTCATGCTATCCATGTGTCACAGGAAGGCAGCACACGGCAGTTCTCATACCACAAACCTAATTTAGGAAGAAGCACATAAAGTGCGAGCTGGCGGGGGGGGGGGGGGAGAACCACTGGAAGATCATATGTATATGCTCATCGAATTTTATCTGTTGCTCTGAATGAGAGCTTCTGCTGAACTGTATATCCAAAAATTAAATTTTGTTAAAGGAAATGTTTCATTTCTACCCTGGGAAGCAGCAATTATAGTGACAAATTTCCATTCCATTAATGAATTACATAAAATGTTCATTGTCCAAAACATATGGTAAGATGGGCACAGGTAATGTTATTCAAACGGAAACATGGAGATGTTTGTGGTCAATGGGAAACAATTTTTATGCATAAGCAGAAGATAAAATTATTAATAAAATTATAGTTTGCATAATTATTCCAGTACCGCTCCCCTGCCCTCGCCAAAGCATGATTAACAAACACTCACTACAATTCTGGGTATTGAATGCTTTGCGAAAAACAAGGCTATTTTTACTACATGGCAGCAAATCTTAGTCATAAAAATATTGTTGGAAATTACAGGCATTAATGAAAAAAATGTTATTCTTTCAGATCAGATCCACAGTTGCTCTTGTTGATTTACACACAATTTAGTTGGGACACGGGTGGCGCTGTGGGTTAAAGCCTCAGCGACTAGGACTTGCCGATCGAAAGGTCGGCAGTTCGAATCCCCGCGGCGGGGTGCGCTCCCGTCGTTCGGTCCCAGCGCCTGCCAACCTAGCAGTTCGAAAGCACCCTCGGGTGCAAGTAGATAAATAGGTACCGCTTACCAGCGGGAAGGTAAACGGCGTTTCCGTGTGCTGCGCTGGCTCGCCAGATGCAGCTTGTCACGCTGGCCACGTGACCCGGAAGTGTCTCCAGACAGCGCTGGCTCCCGGCCTATAGAGTGAGATGAGCGCACAACCCTAGAGTCTGTCAAGACTGGCCCGTACGGGCAGGGGTACCTTTACCTTTACCTATAGTTAAGAAGAGAACATTGTAGCTGTATGATAACATCTTCCAGTTTACAAATGATAAGAGAGCAGGGAAATAATGTAAAGCAACTATTGCCATAAACCGCCCCCCCCACCCCGAAGTGAAAGAAAACACTTCCATACTCCAAGGTTGTCCACAAGATATATTCACAAGCATACCCGAGGCACTTTTGGAGGTACCATGTGGGAAAATTTGTATTACAAAATTTGTGTATACAACCTGTAGTCCCCAAACTATTAATTGCATCATGACAATAGTTTCTGAGGCTGCCAAGGCACAAAGGCAATGCAGTTTTTACAGTACTGGTGCATTAGTTTCCCAGTTATACCATACAACTTCATCCCATGCTATTCTGGAAACAGCAGTACAGTCAAAAATAAAAACGCTTTAGGATAAGTATTTTTGGGTTGTGCTCTGCAGTGACCCAGAAGTAACGGAGCGCATTACTTCTGGGTTTCGCCACTCGCGCATGCACAAACGGTCAAAATGACGTCATGTGCATGTGCGGAAGCGGCAAAACGCGACCCGCGCACATGCAGATGCGCTGTCGCATCTTATGTTCTGTTCAGGATGCAAACGGGGCTCCGGAACGGATCCCATTTGCATTCCAACGTACCACTGTAACCTTAAAAAAGAATCTTCCTGTAGCTATCCCCTTTGCCTTTCTAAATAGATATGGGAGCCATTTACTTTGGACAGTTCAAGAAAGCAACTTTATGAAAGTGGTGCAAAAGCTGAAGTGAAAAAATGCAACATAGTGTCTCCTCAATGTGGTTTGCTTCTTGCCATAATAGGAAATTGCTGATTAGTAAAGCTGATGACGAATCTGTTGAACAACAAGGCTTTTCCAAGGTTTATCCCAGAGCATGAAGGGCTGTGGTCTTCCGCAACAGTCGCTCAGTCAATGGTGAATTTGGTCTCAGCTCATCACGTTCTAGAAGGAGGCACCTGAAGGCGAAGAGTATTAATAATAATAATAATAATAATAATAATAATAATAATAATAAATTTATCTGCCTTCAGATAAAGAAGTTTGTTCTATAGACTGCTGATCCAAGCCCCATCTATAACTAGGATTGTGCCTGCCAAAAACCACAATCTTGGAGTAATTTATAGACAGACCTTCCCGTTTACAGTAAATGTTGAACACCTCCAAGAGATTTTTGAGACCCAGTTGGGAAGAGAGAGGATCACTAAATCATTTTCATATATAAATATGGAGATCTTTCTCTTCCTAATATTACTGGAGAGGGGGAGTTTGCATTGGCTAAATAAGGCACCAAATCATTACTATAAAAGTTAAAGAGAGTGGAAGCCAGAATGCAACTGTGCTTTACTCCTTGTGACATTTTAAAAGCATCAGTCAAACCACCATTTAAACCAGGGGTCAGCAAGGCTTACCAGCCATGGGCCGGATCACTCCCACAGAGATTGTCTGTGGGCCGGACCAGCGCAGCGCGACACCGGAAATCGCATCTGTGCATGTCATGTCTGTGGCACTGGAAATCACTTCTGTGCATGCCCAGACAACAAAAATCATGCCTGCGCAGAAGTGATTTTCAGCACCTGGACATGTGCAAAGTGATTTCTGGTATCTGTGTGTGCGCAGACGTGATTTCCGGTGCGGCTTGGCGAGTCCCCACACTGCATTGCGTTGGTTTAGCACAACATGCAGAGGACTTGTTGAGCGGGCGGCTCATGGGTCAGTAAAAGGGTCTTCGTGGGCCAGATCTGGCCCATGGGCCGCACGTTGCCAACCCCTGATTTAAACCTACTCTGACCCTCATTTCTGTGTTGCTCTACAGTGGTACTTCGGGTTACATACGCTTCAGGTTACAGACTCTGCTAACCCAGAAATAGTACCTCGGGTTAAGAACTTTGCTTCAGGATGAGAACAGAAATCACGTGGAGGCAGCGGGAGGCCCCATTAGCTAAAGTGGTACCTCAGGTTAAGAACAGTTTCAGGTTAAGAACAGACCTCCAGAACGAATTAAGTATGTAACCAGAGGTACCACTGTATAGTTATTAGATCAATAGCAGAAGTCTGCAGCTGATGGCTAACATAAGCAGAACATTCACATTCCCTCTAAGGGGATATAAACAGGTAGGGCTGCCATAGTTTCAATAGAACAAAATTGCTTCAACTGGGCAGATTCCATCCTTCCTCCCTTCACTGGCCATTGCCACCCACCACCCACATTTATGAATACATCCCAATACTTAATTCAAGTAATAATCAGAAATTTGTATTTTTCAGAAGGTGGCACTTACCTAGCAAGTTTTTGGTTAGCTTTAGATTTACATTTCAAAGCAGCATGAATCAGTAACTGGGCAAAAATATCTCTCTGGAAAAAAGATAACAGCACAAGATAAGTTATGGGGGATTGGCATTGGGAGAGAAATCCCAATTGCTAACCATTTACCCATAACTATAGTTTGGATTTGCTACTGTTTTTGTGTTCACTTGCCTGTTAGTTCCTTTAAATACCACACGGAACAGTAAATTAATATTGCAGCCCAAATTCCCTGAGTACATTGCTGGTAAAGTGATTTAACAAAGGCAACCAAGGGCTCATTTTGCCATCAATGAATACCAGACAATACCAATTTGCTTCTGTTATATAGTACCTGTCAGGCATGCCAAGTAGGAGGGGCCCCTCAAAATTTTCAATGAAGGGGACACTCCTCACAAAGTTCCACAACGGCCAGATGCACACACCACGGGGCATCTGAGCAACACACCAGCCTGCCCCGTGGTGATGTCAGCACACAATGGGGCATGCATGCACGGCACGACCACACTGTGGGATATACGACATCATGCATGCACCCAGCAGGGTGTGCTTACGTCATGTCCACACTCCATGGGGAATGCATACATTGCATGCTGACATCGCGCGGGGTCAAGGCAGTGCACGCGATACCTGTTGCTACTGATCACAGGGAAACAGAGTAAGACGGGAATTGTTGGGGAAGATCGGACTGCATATTGGTATATGGGTGTAAGCTGCGAAACAGGTATGTGCTGGCTCAGTTCACCAGATGGCTCAGGAGAGCAAGCAATGCAAAATGCTTCAGATACTCAAACATTCCAAATGCACCATTCAGGCAACCACTCATTGATGCAGGGGTTATGTTCCAAGGCATCACATGTGAAATCATGTATATTGGGAACACCATTGAAAAAGCCTGAAAATACTCTCTAAACCCCTGGAAACCCTTGAAAAACCCTCTTGTTCAATCACCTTGCTCAAGAATGGAAGATTTGAGACTGGGCCATATTGACCAGGCCCAAAGATGCTTTTTAAGAAGCGGCTTAATAACTGCCTTTTCATAGCATTCAGAGGGTGGCAGTATTTGCCCTCAGTGATCGTCTTTCAACCAGCGTGAAAGAATGGTTGCTTATTATGTCTACATTTGTAGAGTTACAGAGAGACTATGAAGCAGACTGGGAGCAGCTTCTAGCAGGAAAACATACCTTTAGCTAGGGGGAGCTCAAGCTGTCAAGCTCTGGGCATCTATGGAGCAAGATCACAGAACAGTTCTGACATGGAGTACTCAAGTAACCCCAATACAATGACTCTTTTTAGAATTTGTTTTCAAAGCTGAAGCTACGCCTTCACTGTGCCCTCACTCACTCCTGATGATACGACTCTGGCCTCCATTCTTCATGCTTTAATATCACTCCACCAAGAATGAACAGAACAGTCAACAAACTGAGCATTAAAAAATTCCCTCACCTGAGCATTGCTCCCTCCTATTTCGACAATTTGGTAGCGAATGGGATACAGTAATTCCACTGCCTTGTCATAATTGCCATTATCAAACTCTACAAATGCTTTCAAAAGAGGCAGCCCTAATTTTGGAACTAAGTTTAGCTCATGGTCTTCATCAGGTGCCCTGGAGAAGAGAAAGAGAGGGAGAAGTGAAAAAAGTAGATAAAAATATTTATAAACCAATAAGTTGTTGATGAATTTGCACATCCAGATACTCAGAACTCTGGCAGAAAACTGAACACCTATTTAACAAAACGGTCCAGAATATACCGTAATTACTGTAGGAATTGTGTTGTAACTAGGCTGATTTATTTTAGCCGAATGGTCTTACACCACCAACCTGATGTATCAGTTTATATCTTTAAGCAGTTTATATACAGCTGTTAAGCAACACTCATTTTGTTTGACAAAATAATACCTAATTAACACTTCAGTATGGTGTGGTGTGCACTGACAACATCTTAAAAGCATCACACGGAGACACACACTTGGGACACATGGAAGATAATGAGATGCTGGGAAGCTCCAGCCATTCCCTGGACTTATGGACGGGACAAAATGCCACAGTATCTAATTTGCTAATCAATTCCAATTCCTGAGAGGTCTTCCTCTGAAACTTTTTAAAATTAACTTTAAGGTCCGCCACAATATGTTGTGGGAGAAAGAAATGCTCCCCAGGCAGATTTCCAAGTGTTCCCTTTTCAGGTATCTCAACTGTGTCTCTATCTTCATATACAGATCAACCTGCTTGGCCTTCTGGAGGGACATTGTTGGCAGACAATGAAATATATTACAACAGATGATTAAGCCCGTAATGCTATGGTTATTGTTTAGTTCCACGATAGTACTGGAATGCTTTGACTTGCTCACTTATTTACACTAGCCATCTTGCAATGGCTATTTATCACCAGTGGCTAGCTGGGGAATAGGTCACACCCATGTTGATTGCATTTTACTCATTTGTTTATATTTCGTACCCCGTTTTGCAGAGATTGCACAGCATTGACTCTTGCATTGCTTGGGATTTTGGCCTCATTGTGTTTGTTTGTTTTTTAAGGCACCATGACCAGGTATTCATTATTTACCCATCTTGGTGATCATGTTATGTATCTGATTAAATGGCTCTGGCCCACAAATGCTTCTGCCACCAGTGCTGGGTTCAGGACGGTGCGGGCGGTTCCCCAGCACAGGGTGCTGAGTCGAGGGGGTGCAAAATTGAGAAGATCAATAACAGAAGTTCCATTTGGGGGCACAAAATTTTGGCCTTGCACAGGGCACCATATTACAGAAGATTACCAAAGTCCGCCCCGGATGCCACAGTAAACCTTACAGCATCTTCAAGCAATATCTTCAAGCAGCAACAAGCTGTCACTTTTGAATCTCTGTTCTGGGTTCAGATAGCAAGGGCACAATGTAAGGAAGGCTCAACTTGGGTCTTCCTCCCACTGCACAGCCTGAGTGCCTTTCTGAGAGAACTGCGTTACTTGCCTGCTAGGGCTTAGCATTAAATTGGGCAACAGAGAAATTTCCATAATTTAGACGACATCTTACTGTATTGTGCTTATTTTTTTCCTTCTTGTGCTTGTGCTGAGCTTTCATGGTATTTCTGGGCTATACATCTAAAATAAGCAAACTAACCATTTCCCAACACATCTGTTTTGTACCCGCTGATAGCAAGTACGAGAGTGACAGCCAAATCCTCTCCCCTCCTGCAGCAGAGAAAGCACCCCATTTGAGATAGACAGGGTAGGCATGGCTCACTCAGCTCCACTTGGCTCTAAATACAAAAAAAGATCTCCTTGTAGATTCTCCTAGCGTGAAGCAAGGTTGGGCAGGGGTTAGGTGTAAGGTTGCCCTCAACTCTTTGCGCATCTTCTTGAAGTCTGGCAGCTCCATCTTTACATTGAGTAGAAACTCTAAGGAGGGGATTTCACATGGCATTCAGTGCCCACCCAGTCCCCTGAAAGGGGGCAAAACCTAAGAAGAAAAAATTGCCTATTCATAAAACTGTTTGTTGCTTACTGGGTGACTTCATGAAGAGTTGCTAAGAGTTCATCAGTAGTTTTGTGGTCCTGGGCCCCTAATGAAGACATCAGAATATGAGCATCATTGAAAACCAGGATGTGATCTTTGGCATGTTTTTTTGTCAGCTGGTTTACTGCTTTCCACCTGTCACCAACATTCAGACCTAGGAGAAAAGTTAACACGTTTTTTAAAAAGCAACTTAGAATATTAAAAAATGGCCATGCACATTTACTTCAGAGCAGACCCCACTGGAAATAGTGGGACATACTTTGGAGTAAAGATGCATAGCTTTTGCTGCAGTCACTGAGTGCAAAACACTTTTTTATATGTACTTTAACGTCTATACTCATACATAAGCATTTAGGACTTCTCCAGAGTGGTATTTGATTTTGAGATTATTCTGTAACATGTTTTTGACATAATAATGCTCTATTACTGGCTGATTTATTCTGCTTTAGTTTGTTCTGCAATGCTTCCACATTATTGCTATCTAGAGGACTATAGCACAACAAAACAAAAGTAGTACAAAAAACAACTCTCAAAATATTTGTTGTATGAAAAATTTTGGGATTTCAGTAGGATGATGCAGGATTGGAAATGAAGGAGCATGATCGCCCCAAGAGATTTGCAGGTGCAAGTCTTGAAAGCGGACTCACATATGACTGTCCTGAACACAAATCACTAGGCATATGCAATAAAAGCGACGTCTGGAGGGTCCTTTACTGGCTATATGGATTCATGTCTCAGTCATTGTTGACTGGAAGCTGCCTCTAACCCAATTCAGTTGGTCTGGGCACCCAATACATTGAAACAAAACAAAAGAGATGGAGGGGCGGAGAAAAGTAGCCAAGAAAATTGTGAGATTTGCTATAGTAGCTCATGCACAGTATTGCTCAGGCCAGCTCTTTTTCAGTCCTTCTTCTGTTTAGCCAGGGAAGGGAAAACAAAAAAAAAATTCCTTCCAGTAGCACCTTAAAGACCAACTAAGTTAGTTCTTGGTATGAGCTTTCGTGTGCATGCACACTTCTTCAGATACACACTTCTTCAGATACTGTGTATCTGAAGAAGTGTGCATGCACACGAAAGCTCATACCAAGAACTAACTTAGTTGGTCTTTAAGGTGCTACTGGAAGGAATTTTTTTTGTTTTGACTATGGCAGACCAACACGGCTACCTATCTGTAACCAGGGAAGGGAGTGAAAGCTAGAGCAAAGAGATTCAAATGCATAAAATAAAAAGAAAACTGTTGCCCGCCTAAATAGGCAAGAGCACAGCCTCTTCAGAGTTTCTCTTTTACCTTCTAACTGAAGCCGATACAGCATGGAGCAATTGTCAACAACATCCAGCATTGTTCCACTGAACTGGCACCTGGGAGCAATCTGTAAACAGCAAAGCATTCAGAATTTGGATTGGCCTCACAGTCCAGATTTAAGATTTCTAATATTCCCCTTAAGCTGTGCTTTAGGAGACAGCTATCTTGCACTTTGCACTTCCTCCATCCCCTTGTGAACCTCTGAGCAGCATCCATGTAAGAAGAGTTTGGTTCTCCTCCTCCTCCTCCTTCTCTTTACACAGACTCTTTTTTGCTGCTGCTTCTCCATCTCCAGTTCTTCTAATTCAATAAGGGACTGTTCTTTCACAAAACTGATTAGAAAGTCTCATTGGGAGAGAGAGAGAACCACATACTTTTGCTGTTTTTGTTGATCCAAAACCACATATAAAAATTAATAGAATCTTTGGAAGACTGAAGTAGCCCAACAAATGCTTATGATAGGAAGAAAGACATGGGTGTTGATAAAGATACAAGGTGCTTTCTATTTCACATACACAGAACTATAGAAAAGCTACTTCTCAGATTGCCAGGCCAATGTGGATCAGGAAGCTAGGATGTGCCAGCAACACACCTCCTTTAGCAACCCATAGTGCAGTTAATGCCCAAATTGTGACCTGGCCATAGCAATGCCCCATGTAACAATGGGAAGTCTCATGTGAGAGATGAATTAAATAATGAAAAGGATTCTGTGAGCCCAAGGCTCCTCTCCACAGAGGAGCCTCTGAAGGGAACCTGCAATTCTGCGAAATCCCTGCCTGAAAGCTAACCTTCTCAATGGAGACAGAACATTTCCTACCCACAGAGGAGACTCGACAGTTGTACCTCTGTGTAAGCTGCTACCTTGAGTTTGCCTTCTTTCAATCAGAATGAATGTCCAGAGCAATAATATCTACAAGGAGTTATTTCCTTCTGTTACATACTCCCAGGGAAAACCTTTCTAATGCAACAATGAAGAGTACTTCCAAATTTACTTCAGAAGAAACAAGAGTGCATCTCAACTATCAGAAACAACGTTTTCGTGCAAACTCAACACTTGAGTTCAAAGCAGATGAACTATCCAGCCCCCCAAACACTTGAGCTAAGCTTTCATCTTACAAAATCAAGGTTGTAAAGCAGAGCTACGTATATTATGAGCTAAAACACTTTTTAAAAAATGTACCAAATTGGCTCAGATTCTGCAACAAAGTAGGCTGGATTATCAAATCTGCATCTATTATGTTGCATCTGGCTAATGTTGTAAAATCAAGCATGAGCCTGCAATCCTATACACACCTACCAGGGTGTAATTCCCCTTGAAGCCAGGACTTAGTTCTGAGAAAATATGTTCTTCCTGCTGCTGAAATTATAATTATTTTAATGGGGAGTGAAAATGCCAGCCTATAAACAGCAGAAGGAAAGGCACAAATATGGTTTCACGTGTCCGTTAAGTATGCTGCTCATACTTACATGAGTGTCATAAATTGTCAAAGCAGCCTCGTAGTCACCCTACAAGAACAAGGAGGATTTCATTTTATTTGTGCATTTGCAAACAGTCAACTCATCATATTGTAACTTCTGTAATTACCATGCATTGGGATCAACAAATTAGACTACAGTGTTACCTCGGGTTACGTACGCTTCAGGTTATATACGCTTCAGGTTACAGACTCCACTAACCCAAAAATAGTACCTCAGGTTAAGAACTTTGCTTCAGGATGAGAACAGATATCGTGCTCTGGTGGCGTGGCGGCAGCAGGAGGCCCCATTAGCTAAAGTGGTGCTTCAGGTTAAGAACGAACCTCCAGAACGAATTAAGTACTTAACCCGAGGTACCACTGTATCAGATTTCTGACAAACTGAAACATGTTTTAAATGTGCAGGTAAGAGAAAATGTAGTTTTGTTGGTGGGTGGGGGCACTGCACATTGACTACAAAGTCACCACCCTTTGCCCCCAGGGAAACAGCTGATTTGGTGTTGCAATATACAACCCAAGGTACTGTCCGCCACTGGAATGCAGTCCCTGGGAGTAGATTATCCCCAAGGGAATGCAGCTCCCCATGGAGAGGAAAAGCCATACCATGCTCTATAGCCATACCCACAAGCCATACCCACGAGTTGCTCCTTCATGTGTTGTTCTAATGGGGCTTCCCATGGCATCTACTGAAGGTTCATGCCTATTTAGCCTGAGCAGTGCTGCAGAATGGTATGGAAGCGCTTCATTTTCTAAACCCTCATTCAGCTGATTTTAGTGAAGATAATTGCAAGTGACTCACATGCAGACACAACCTTACTATAGAAATGGGCTATCACGTGTTATCATGCTGTGTTGCCATTGGTTTTACTGTATTCAAATGAGTTCTATATGTTCATAAAATAATTAGACATTGCTTTGAGCACTTAAATGGAAAGGAAGTTGGCCTGGAGATCAAATTCACTGCTTCTCACTAATTAAAGTCTCTAACTGTAGACAGACACAAGAAGCACCCTGTCATTCTGCAGAGCATTCAGGGCAGAAAAGAATTTAAAGACCCTAGCAAATATTTTGACCTCACCATGGATCACTATCTGGTTTTCCCAACTATAAAGAATAATTTATCACATTCCTGCACTGGTTGGGGGTGATGAGAGAGTGCAAAATATGAGGCGGTAGTGTACTTGTTCCCAAGTATGAGAAAACTTCAAGTCAGGTATCCAATACAAAGAAAAATGTCAATGCTCTCTGTCCATAACAATTTTTGTGTGAATGTGAGAAACAAATATATTAAAGAAACTAAAATGAGATAAGGAACTTAAGTGTAAGGGTAGTCAAAGGATGAAAGGTGGAAGGATAGCAGCAAATGAAATGCACTGAAAGGATTTTCTTGCAGACTCAAGAGAGTTACAGAAGCATCCACATACCTTTTCAATAAAATACAAAGCCCAGTGCCAGTAGTTATGGCAAGCAAGCATGTCGCTATCCTGGAAAAGATGGAAGAATGATGAATAAATGTTAAACATAGTTTTTTAATGGTCTACCATTAAAAAGTTACAGAATGTTAACATCAGAAAGTAATCATAGATTGTCTAAGGGAAACTGTAGCATTTGGACTTGGCTAGTACAGTGTTGTTGGCTAGTACAGGGACGCGGGTGGCACAGTGGGTAAAAGCCTCAGCGCCTAGGGCTTGCCGATTGAAAGGTCGGCGGTTCGAATCCCCGCGGCGGGGTGCGCTCCTGTCGTTCGGTCCCAGCGCCTGCCAACCTAGCAGTTCGAAAGCACCCCCGGGTGCAAGTAGATAAATAGGGACCGCTCACTAGCGGGAAGGTAAACGGCGTTCCGTGTGCGGCTCTGGCTTGCCAGAGCAGCGATGTCACGCTGGCCACGTGACCCGGAAGTGTCTCCGGACAGCGCTGGCCCCCGGCCTCTAGAGTGAGATGGGCGCACAACCCTAGAGTCTGTCAAGACTAGCCCGTACGGGCAGGGGTACCTTTACCTTTTACCTTTAGTACAGTGTTACCTTGGGTTACACACGCTTCAGGTTACAGACTCTGCTAACCCAGAAATACCATAGTTTTTGCTCTATAAGACGCACTTTTCCCCTCCTAAAAAGTAAGGGGAAATCTGTGCGCATCTTATGGAGCGAATGCAGGCTGCACAGCTATCCCAGAAGCCAGAACAGCAAGAGGGAATCCTGCTTTCACTGCACAGCGATCCCTCTTGCTGTTCTGGCTTCTGAGATTCAGAATTATTTTTTTTCTTGTTTTCCTCCTCCAAAAACTAGGTGCATCTTGTGTTCTGGTGCGTTTTATAGAGTGAAAAATACGGTAGTACCTCGGGTTAAGAACTTTGCTTCAGGATGAGAACAGAAATCGTGCAGCAGCGGCGCGGCAGCAGCAGTGGGAGGCCCCATTAGCTAAAGTGGTGCTTCAGGTTAAGAACAGTTTCAGATTAAGAACGGACCTCCGGAACGAATTAAGTACTTAACCCGAGGTACCACTGTAATGAAAAAAATAGAGAGATCCAATATAATGATCAAAATTAGGTTTTGAGAGCAAAATATTAAAGCATGTCAGAGGGGAAAAAACTTTCCTGTATTTGGGAACAAATAGCCAATTTAAATAAAGCATCTCATTCTTAGAACTGGAACCTGGCAAACACAGTGACCTGAGAATATGAAATAAGGATTAACAAACTAGAATCATAGAACTGCAAAAACAGAAGGGACTCAAGGTCCTGAGCTGCCACAGGAAACTGCGTAATAAGGACAGTCAGCTTAGATGCTCCGGGGCTCAGCCTGGCCCACTGAGGAGCTGGTGACCTCTACCACAGTGTTTCCCAACCTTTTTTGGGCAAAGGCACACTTGTTTCATGAAAAAAATCTCGAGGCACACCACCATTAGAAAATGTTAAAAAAATTAACTCTGTGCCTATATTGACTACCATATTTTTCGCCCCATAGGACGCACCGCCCCATAAGACGCACCTAATTTTTTGGGGGGAGAATAAAGAAAAAAAAAATTTCCCCTCCCCAGGCACGGGGCAGGCGCGGGGGAAGCCCAAGCTTCCCCCGACCCCAGCCCCCAGAACAGCCTGATATCCGCAAGCCTAGGGAGCCACACTGGTCTCCCCAGGCTTGCGGAGAGGTGCGTGAAGCCCGGGGGCGCTCTTCAGCGCGCACCAGGCTTCGGGATGCAGGCAGCTCTGCGCTACCCTCCAGAGCCCCGTGCGGCTTCGCGCTGGGATCCGGGGGGTGGCGCGGAGCTGCAAGAAGCCCTGGAGCGCAGGCAGCTTCGCACCACCCTCCGGAGCCCCGCGCGGCTTCGCGCCAGGATCCAGAGGGTGGTGCAGAGCTGCAGGAAGCCCTGGAGCGCAGGCAGCTTCGCACCACCCTCCGGAGCCCCGCGCGGCTTCGCGCCAGGATCCAGAGGGTGGTGCAGAGCTGCAGGAAGCCCTGGAGCCCAGGTAGCTCCGCGCCACCCTCCGGAGCCCCGCGCGGCTTCGCGCCAGGATCCGGGGGGTGGCGCGGAGCTGCAAGAAGCCCTGGAGCGCAGGCAGCTCCGCACCACCCTCCGCAGCCCCGCGCGGCTTCGCGCCGGGATCCGGGGGGTGGCGCGGAGCTGCAAGAAGCCCTGGAGCGCAGGCAGCTCCGCACCACCCTCCGCAGCCCCGCGCGGCTTCGCGCCAGGATCCAGAGGGTGGTGCAGAGCTGCAAGAAGCCCTGGAGCGCAGGCAGCTTCGCACCACCCTCCGGAGCCCCGCGCGGCTTCGCGCCAGGATCCAGAGGGTGGTGCAGAGCTGCAGGAAGCCCTGGAGCCCAGGTAGCTCCGCGCCACCCTCCGGAGCCCCGCGCGGCTTCGCGCCAGGATCCGGGGGGTGGCGCGGAGCTGCAAGAAGCCCTGGAGCGCAGGCAGCTCCGCACCACCCTCCGCAGCCCCGCGCGGCTTCGCGCCGGGATCCGGGGGGTGGCGCGGAGCTGCAAGAAGCCCTGGAGCGCAGGCAGCTCCGTGCCACCCTCCGCAGCCCCGCGCGGCTTCGCACCGGGATCCGGGGGTGGCGCGGAGCTGCAAGAAGCCCTGGAGCGCGGGCAGCTCCGCGCCACCCTCCGCAGCCTCCTACGGAGGGCGCCCCGTGCTCCGCGCTGCTGGCTGCCGCCCGCAAGCCGTGCACGCGGGGGGGAGTTCCCCTGGGCGCGCAAGGCTTGCGGACAGCTGCGCGAAGCACGGGGCGTCCTCCAAAGGGCGCCCCGCGCTCCGTGCTGCAGGCTGCCGCCGCAAGCCTTGCGCGCCGGGGGGGGGAGTTCCCCCAGGCGCCCAAGGCTTGCGGACAGCTGCGCGAAGCACGGGGCGTCCTCCAAAGGGCGCCCCGCGCTCCGCGCTGCAGGCTGCCGCCCGCAAGCCTTGCGCGCGCGGGGGGGGGGAGTTCCCCCAGGCGCCCAAGGCTTGCGGACAGCTGCGCGAAGCACGGGGCGTCCTCCAAAGTGCGCCCCGCGCTCCGCGCTGCAGGCTGCCGCCCGCAAGCCTTGCGCGCCGGGGGGGGGAGTTCCCCCAGGCGCCCAAGGCTTGCGGACAGCTGCGCGAAGCACGGGGCGTCCTCCAAATGGCGCCCCGCGCTCTGCGCTGCAGGCTGCCGCCCGCAATGTTTGGATTTGCATCCAGCAGGAGATGCCGCCGCCGCCCCGCCTCTCCCGCCTCCCTCCCACGGCACACCAGGCAAGGTCTCACGGCACACTGGTGTGCCGCGGAACACCGGTTGGGAAACACTGCTCTACCAGACCTCCTCCAACCATAATCTTTCCACTAACCCTGTAGGGAAGGCCAGTTTTCATGTGACTGATGGAAAGGACTGAGGTTGAGAGAATATTGCCTTGTCTATCAATACCTTCAGCATGTCAGTTTGCATTTTTTGGTGAAGAAAGTATTGAACTATTTGGTGAAGAAAGTATTGATCCCATTCTAATTGATTCAAGATCAAGAGTGTTCTGGAAGCTTCTCTGTGTCATACAAGCTGGAAGTTTCTAGCTGACAAGCAAGCTTCTATTCCAGGGGTCAGCATTTTTTTTCAGCAGGGGGTCGGTCCACTGTCCCTCAGACCTTGTGGGGGGCTGGACTATATTTTGAAAAAGAAAGAATTCCTATGCCTCACAAATAACCCAGAGATGCATTTTAAATAAAAGGACACATTCTACTCATGTAAAAACACGCTGATTCCTGGACCGTCCACAGGACAGATTGAGAAGGTGATTGGGCCGCATCCAGCCCCTGGCCTTAGGTTGCCTATCCATGTTCCATTCTGCCTGGAAACAGGAAAAATATTCCTGATGTTTAGGTTATTCCTTCAGAGAAGCTGAACAGCTGGTTTAAACTGGTTCTGTTATCTCTTTCACTCAAGGTCATGCTCGAGGCCAGGAGGAGCCTGGGTTTCACTCTATCTCTCTTTTCTTCTGGCGTAGTGTTCTGTATGTAGCATGCTTAGTGTTAATGTTTTAGTCTTATTATAAGTTATTGTAAGTTTAAGTTAAAGGTAAAGGTACCCCTGCCCGTACGGGCCAGTCTTGACAGACTCTAGGGTTGTGCGCCCATCTCACTCTAGAGGCCGGGGGCCAGCGCTGTCCGGAGACACTTCCGGGTCACGTGGCCAGCGTGACATCGCTGCTCTGGCGAGCCAGAGCCGCACACGGAAACGCCGTTTACCTTCCCGCTAGTAAGCGGTCCCTATTTATCTACTTGCACTCGAGAGTGCTTTCGAACTGCTAGGTTGGCAGGCGCTGGGACCGAACAACGGGAGCGCACCCCGCCGCGGGGATTCGAACCGCCGACCTTTTGATCGGCAAGCCCTAGGCGCTGAGGCTTTTACCCACAGCGCCACCCGCGTCCCTCGTAAGTTTAAGTTAAGTCTGCTGCAACTGGATTTCTTATGGGCAGTGCCAGTCCTGAATGTATTGGATTTGTGACCATTATGCTCATCTGCCTTCAGTAGCAGTAAAACTCTGCTGGATGAAACACAATTGCCCCCGGTATATATTTTTGGGAATCAAAACTGCAATGTGTTTAAAATTTTACTCTGTTAACTATATATTGGAAGCTGCTCTGGATCAATATGAGTAGAATTCTTGACACAGGAAATTTGATGACTGTGGCAAGATGTGAACCAGGGATTTTCCAGCTCACAAGTAAACTACAACAATTCTCAAAACATGTGGTGCTTAATTCATTATTAAAAATGTAAATCCATAGGAAAGTTTGAATTAAAAATTCCATGAAAAACATGTTCCAACACAATGCCCTATTTCAAACAATAAGGTATAAGGGAAATTAACCAGGTTTCCCAGAAGTTCTCTGAAACTGAAAGGTTTTGCCCATCTTTTCAAAAGATACATGTGAGCAGCCCAAATTACAATCGGAAAAGGCCCTTTTGTCTCTGACTTACCTCAGAATGACAAGGCACTCAAAGCGTAGCCTCATCAGATGTGCTGATATTTATACACTAGTGGCTGCGCTCCGGCTTGCTCCATTTACACCCCCCCATGCCATTCCCATTAATCACCTAGAGCTCCCCCCCCACCACATGCAAAGACTAAGCACACAAAGCACTATCACCTTCACCCCCCATTTCCTACTTCCTCCATCCTCCTTTTTTTCAAACTCTCCCTTGCACACAGATCTCCCTTATTTCCATGCCTTCTCCATGCAGCCTCTTTTGCAAAAACACACATACAACACACTTATACAAGCTACTGTATTTTCAAAATGAATAGATTTTTAAGAGCAAGCCTGTGAATTAACCTATTCAGTTGAAGAAGATCAAGTTCAGTCAAGTTCAGTCACTTGTTAATCAACTATCTCTAATTACTACACTAATCTGGAACTTCATGTGGAAGACAACACATGGTACCAGGAGTGAAAAACCAGATTGTACGAAGGTACTATGGAATATTTGAAGCGAACAAAGCAGACCTTTCCCCAGTTCCCTTCTTCAGATCATCATCATGATGATTTATTAATTAAATTTGTATACCGCCCTTCATCCGAAGATCTCAAGGCAGTAAACAGCTCAGAAATACAGAACAGCACCACAGACCTTGTTTGAAACTGCTGTGCACACAACCCTGTTCCCTTCACTCATGCCTCTGCCATTGTTTAAAATCACCACTTTGCTGCTCTTTGTTTCCTTTATTCAAATCTCTGCTTGATTCAAACTGTTATTGTTGTTTTATACCACCATTTTGAACATGCCTTCTCTTTTACTCCCCTCTCCCATGCAGACTTAATGCAAATCCAGGATTGTGACGAGGCACCACAAATACAGTGGTACCTTGGGTTAAGAACTTAATTCGTTCTGGAGGTCCGTTCTTAACCTGAAACTGTTCTTAACCTGAAGCACCACTTTAGCTAATGGGGCCTCCTGCTGCTGCGCCGCCGACACACGATTTCTGTTCTCATTCTGAAGAAAAGTTCTTAACCCGAGGTACTATTTCTGGGTTAGCAGAGTCTGTAAGCTGAAGCGTCTGTAACCCGAGGTACCACTGTACTACAATCTGGACTGCATGATGGCAGCCTTACATTTTTATGTATATAGGAAGATAACTTGCTATGCAGAAGAACGTGCCATGGAGCAGGCCTTTCAGGGTGAGAGTGTGTGAGCAACCACCTCAGAAAGCAATATATTTTACCTTCCAGTTGTTTTCAGTTTGCTTCATAAATGACAGCCCACTCTTCAGATCTGCCTTCATTTCGTTCACGTGAGCTATGGTGTGGACAGACCATGCATCTGTTTGGTTGATAGCTAAAGCCTAACAAAAGGTTAAGAGGAAAAAATTGTACTTGTTAGCTAATGTGCTCTGTTGCTAGAAAAGCATAAATAACACTTGGCTTGGTTTCCTCTTGGTTGAGTAACATGGTGGAAAGGTCATTCCAGATGCAACTGAAGAATATTAGACTACTACACCACAACGAGGAGCAGGTGAAAAGGATTCTAGAATGTTTCTGGAAAGAGTCAGTTGACACCTATGAGGAAGTCACTTAAACTGAGGATATCAGAATAGCAAAACGAGGTTGCGTGAGATAAGGAAATGAAAATATTGTCTGCAGTATCTCCCAAGCTGTGCCCATTCCTGGCAATATAAACTGGGGAAGCCAGGAAATCTCAAAAGAGGCCAAAAAAATCATTCCTTTTAGTTCTTGATGGGCCAGACTGGCATAACTACTAGGGCGATTCATAAAAAACTTTTTTTGGGAAAATGCCTGCTCCAAAGGTCTTATCTTACTACACTAGGGATTATATAGCTGTATCTGAAATTTCATGCATATCGCTTAATATCTTGACCCTGCTCCACTGAATTGAAATTTCAGCCTTCACGACATAGGGAAATGGCCAAATAAACAGCTATTTTTGTGGAGGAGGGTCAAGATATTAACTGATATGCATGAAATTTCAGATATAGCTATATAATCCCTAGTGTAGTAAGATGAGATCTTTGGAGCCGGCATTTTTTAAAAAAAGTTTTTAATGAACCGCCCTAATAACTACCCAGCTTACCACCAATTACCTCTCTCGCTCACCTACACAAAAAATAACTTGAACACCCCATATTTCAGCCTTTTTATTTTTTACCTCATAGGCAAGCTTCTCAGCACGATCAAAGAAATTGGTTTCCATCAGTCCAAAGGAGTACATGCCTTTTAAGTAGCTAAACAGAAAAGGTAAAAACTGACAGTCAATATGAGATTACTTAATAGCACCTTGATAAATACCTTAAAATAGAAAAGAGAATTGTACTTGATGAAACTACATAAGAACTAGCATTTGCAACAGGTTCTCACTAGAAATTAGTACATTCAGGGAATCGACACTTTATTCTTATCACATGAGAGCATGTGTCCAAATTTCACTTCAGTCTGTAAAGCGTGTCAGCTCCATCCCTCCTCTGGTCCCGGTTCCTCAGAACCCCAGGTGGTCTCTTGTACTCAGAGGACCCTTGAGGGAGTCCCTTACTTGGTTGCATCCTTTTATCACAGGACACCTACTCTGTTTGGTTCTTTATATAGTTTATTTTCCTGACAGTCTTTCCTCTCTTCTCTGAAGTTAACAGCCACAGACCCTTCCATATGCCTTCTCCCCTCATATCTGTCTCCTTGCTCTCCTGGGTTCCTCGTCTCTTCTCATGGTCCTCCTCTTCCCTGCTGGGACCTGGGCTGGATGCTGACGCTGGCCTTTAAAGAGCTGCTGGGTGCTCTCTACTTCCTTAGGATGAATGGCATTTGCATGCAGGTCCTTCTCCAGTCCCAAGGCCTCCGTGTTGCATCCGACTGGCCAAGGAGCTGCATGGAGACTGACAATGCCTGCCAGGCACCTTACACACAAGCCTTCCATTCTCTCAGCCTCAGATCCTCTTTCTAGAATCTTCCCCTCCATTTCTGAAGTTCAAAGGCAAGTGCCAACCATTATGTAGGCAAACAGCACCAACCACACACAAGAGGGAGGTATGAGTAAGGCTCAGGGAACTGTTTGTATTTGTGTTTACCTCAAACAACAACCACTTTAGGTGGGAAACAGCTCAATGAGGAAAGGATTATGTGGGATCAGGATGCAGATTAACAGTTGTCAGGTGGGGTTTACAAAACCATGGGGGATGGAAGGGTTTACCATGGAGGAGGATGCAGATGACTGATGGGAATAGTGAATGGGAGCCCTCCAGTTTGTCACAGGTCTCGCTTGCTTAAGAATATTAGTACTAGGGGGGGGGTATTCTGTTTTCAGTTATTCTGAAAATTGAGCTTCTTATTATGAATTTTTCTCTAAAATCCAGGTGTGTTGATTTACATGTACTTTTAGATCGTACACTTGTAGACTGATCTGGACACCTTTTTTGGCTGAAGAGTAGGGTAAACATGTTTTAAAATAATAAACAAATAAGTTGGACTGCAAGATCTGATAATATTTCTTATCTGAGGTTCTTGAATTTGAGCATGCAGTAGAATCAGAGAGCGCAGCAGAAGCGAAATGATCTTACCTACTAAGAGGAATGTCTGGTGTCCAATAAGGATAGACTCGAGCAATGGAGTCTCTCATCTGGGTTTGATGTCCCAAGTAGAAATAAGTGTCATGTGCAAATTTGAGGGCTAACAGGTCAGTTGGGTGGTTCTGCAGGATTTGATCCCAGGTGTCACAAGCTTTTGGGAGCTGCCTACACAGGGGAAAAACCCAAGGCATATAAATATCCTTCAAGGCGTATAAATATCCATTCACTTAGTCGGTGCCTATTTCGCACAGATAATCAGGAAGAAATGCTGCAATAAATAATGTATCCCCCCCCTGCCCTTTTAGCCAACAGATTATAACCTTGTTTGGACAAGAGGGTTAGTAAAAGTTGTTTGCACCAACTGGTAACTTTTGTGGGTTTGCGTGCAAGACTTTTTCATAATATAGACCCGTATTCTTATATTTAAAGGTGTACAATGCTGCTAAAATATTGTGAATGAGATCTCCCATATTTAATTACTGATTACTTGTGACTTTTTTTTAAAGTACTATTTGCTTACTCAAGCCTGCACAGTTTATGACCCAGGCCACTAACCACCTAGGTGCCAGGGGGGGGGGGAGAGTTGCCAGCAGGCTCCTGTGGGTGGCTGGAGGGCTGTGTATGTCCTTGTGGGACACAAGTAGCACAGGTACGACTTAATTTTAAGAGCTACATGTTAAAAGAAGTAGCCCAAAGGAACTGTTTCTAATCCTTCTGTGTCTGAAGGGAGCAACTAAAACTATTGGCACTAAGTGTTGAGAGCTACCGTTTGTGGAAGAGATTCCATACAATTAACAACAATAAGCTAGAAGCAGGTTAGAGCCTTGAAAACATATTTTTCATTTAAGAACTCAATTTGAAACATCATCCGTTATTTCACTCAATATATAGGGCTACCAAATAGCATTATAACATTATGCCTTATGGACAACGAGGAAAGGAAGTTATTACAAAGAAAAGACGGGCCTAGTCTTTGTGAAAAAAGTTAAATATCTGTGGGTCAATTTGTCGGTGAAAAACTTGAATCTATATGAAGATAACTATGAGAAATTATGGAATGAAATTAAGAGAGATTTGGAGATTTGGTCGAGTTTGAAATTGTCATTAATGGGCAGGATATCTGTAGTTAAGATGAATGTATTGCCAAAGATGTTGTTTCTGTTTCAAGCCCTACCAATTATTGATAATGTGAAGTGTTTCAAAGAATGGCAAAAAGCACTATCTAGATTTATTTGGCAGGGGGGGAACCCAGAATCGAATATAAATTACTAACGGACTCGAAAGAAAGAGAAAGAGAAAATAGATTTGAAGATCTATTTTGAAGCAGCAGCTTTTTGCTGGATTAAGGAATGGATACAACTAGAGGACACTGATGTTTTAGATTTGGAGGGATTTGACAATGTGTTTGGATGGCGTGCATATCTATGGCATGACAAGGTAAAGGCCCATAATGGCTTTAAAAATCATGTGATTAGAAAATCTCTATATAATGTTTGGATTAAATACAAAGATCTTCTAGAAAGGAAAACACCCAGATGGCTTTCGCCAATGGAGGCAAAGGACCAGAAAAAGTCAAATATGGAATCCAAGTGGTTGAGATATTCAGATTTGTTATTGGAAGATAATGAAGGATTTAAATGAAAACCATTTGACCAAATCAAAGATAAAATAAATTGGTTACATTATAACCAGATTAATGAATTGTACAAAATAGATAAGAAAAATGGTTTTGCTTTGGAAAAAACTAAATTGGAAACGAAGTTGTTAAATTCTAAAGTTAAAAATTTGTCTAACATGTATAATTCATTGTTGGAGTGGCATACAAAGGATGAACAAGTTAAATCCATGATGATAGATTAGGCAAGAGATGTGGGACATAACATAATGTTTGAAGATTGGGAAAGGTTGTGGAGGAAAGGGGTCAAGTTCACTGCATGTACAGTGTTAAAGGAAAATATAATGAAAATGATGTATAGATGGTACTTGACTCCTGTAAAGTTAGCAAAGATTTATCACAATAGTGATAATCTATGCTGGAAATGTAAAGAAAAGGAGGGTACCTTTTACCATATGTGGTGGACCTGTCCCAAGGTGAAAGACTTCCGGGAGAAGATTTATAATGAGTTGAAAACAATGTTGAAATATACATTTGTTAAGAAACCAGAGGCCTTTCTTCTTGGAATAATAGGCTTGGAATTGCCCCAAAAAGATGCTAGACTGTTTTTGTATGCCACAACTGCAGCTCGAATTTTATTAGCCAAAAATTGGAAAACACAAGAAATTCCAACAGTGGAGGAATGGCAGATGAAGATGATGGACTTTTCGGAGCTAGCCGACCTGACTGGAAGAATCAGTGACCAGAAGGAGGAGAAACATCAGGAAGAATGGAAGAAATTAAAGACTATTTATTGAAATATGCTAAGATAAATTAAATAGAAATACTTGTAAAATAACAGATAGGCTAAGGACTTAAATATGTGAAATTATAAAACAATATGTTTAAAGTTAAGATGAAAAGAGACAAAGATGTTAAGGAGTAAGTCAATTTTATGAGAAACTCTTGGAAAAGCGTTACAATGATGTATAATGAAATTCAGTCTAGGGAATTTGAGGAAGTCATTTAACTATGATATTAATATTGGACTAAGTTCAGTTTTGATTTGTGTTTATTTGTTTGTTTGTTTGTTTGTTTGTGTTTAAAAATGTGGAAAATTAATAAAATTTTTGAAATATATATATAACATTATGCCTTAGGTCCAAGGGTAGATGTTGCAAAAGCTATTGTTTGGCAAAGGAAAAAAAGCAAAATCAGAAATGTTTTAAAGGAAAGTAGGGAGGGCAGGTACCAGGGCTTTTTTCCAGCCAGAACTCACCAGAACTCAGTTCTGGCACCTCTCAGGTGGGCGCCAATGTCACTGCAAGAGAATGAGGGAGGTGTTCGTGGTGAGTTCTAGCACTTCCTTTTCTAGAAAAATAGCACTGGCAGGTACACCAAATCAAGTTTTTTACAACAGACATTGCCCCTGAGAAAATGAAAATAAGCTGCTTGTTCTGCAGATTCTGAGAGCTAGTTTTTACAGAAAAGGCAATAAAGCTTTCCAACTTCACTGCCTAAAAACCAAGGACTTACCCATTAGCAAAGAGCTCCAATGCAGAAACGTGTAATTTCTCTCGTTCAGTCAATGGCTGAGACTGTGACAGTGCCACCATTTTCTTTATTGCACCATCTAGTTTTCTGTCAAGTCGAGGTGAACTCCCAGTACCAATCAGAACCAAACCATTAGCAATCACATGACCCATTACTGCAGATAAAGTCAGAAGTAAAAACTTTACGTAAAAGATTATATCAGTAGACAAAACCTGCAGTCCTTTACCTAATTTCATGCAGCTTAGGAGGAGCCTGGAAGGAGAGGAGTGGGGACGAAGTCAAAACTGATGGAGTGATGGAGTGAAAGGGTGGCAAGCCCTCTGGAAATTATTAATTCAGACTTATTACAGGAGTGATCTGTGTGTCCACTGGCAACTCCTTGGTGGGCAGGGAGAGAAAGCGGTGGCAGAAAGAGAGAGAGAGGAAGAAAGCGAGAAGGGAGCGCTCCCAGTTGCTTTGGGCTCGGGCATGCAGCCCTCAAAGATTGCCCAAGAAAAGGGGGCCCTCAACAAATAAAAGCTATAGTCATCTTTTAGTTATATAATAGGTTGTTCCTCAAACATATTTCTTTATTTTCTCAACTATACAGACAGCCTGATTGTAATGAACCTCTATGTGGTTTACAAAGAATAAAAACAAAAGATTAAAAATATCAATAAAAGACTGTTAAAAACAGGTATTTAAATAAAAAAGATAGCTCAAATCAACAATAGGTTAAAAAGATGTGTTTTAACCTCAACGTTTACATATGTGGATAGGCTTGCATAAACAGAAATGTTTTCGACAGGTTCCAAAAAGAGTAACGTAAGGGAACCTGCCTGGTTTCAATACAGAGAAGGTGGCCAGGTAAAAAAAAAAAGTTCTATCCATTTACCTCCAAGAATCACATCCAAAGTATTTTTCACCATATATTTGAACCCATGAAGACTAGAAACATTAGTTTGTTTGTTTTTAAAGAAAAACAAAACTTAAGATCCGACTATGGTGAGAAACTGGCCAATCTAGATTCAAATCATGGCTTACAATGCAAGTTTATTTTAAAGTAACCATATATAGTGTTACGAGTAGTTTTTCTGTTCAGATGAAATGACAAATCTCAGGTGACTAAAAGCGGAATGCCTAAGTCTCTGAAGGAGAGAGGATGGGCAGGCAGGTGAGCCCAGGGGCCAGCAGGAGACCGAGTTCAACCATTATGGGCAATGGTGGTCCCAAAGAAAATAAGCATTGCACCTCCCCACACACACACACACACACACACACACACACACACACACTTTTTTGGCCAATACTTCACATTTTCTACAAGGAAACAACATTAGGCCACACAAAGATGCACTGAAGTCATTTCGTTACTTACAAAAATTAGGGTCAGCTGCCTGTAGTTTTGAGAAAGTTCCTTCAAGGCCCCCTAAACTATTATCATTTTTCCAGGTCACATACTGTAACAAATACAAACAATACACTGGTTAAGAATTCAAGAGATAAGTTTCCTTTTCATCATCTCATGCAAGCGAATCTTACATTAAGCAGAAAACAAATTTAATATATTTCCGCTTCTGGCTCATGTGGCAATCCATGGGAATATTCTTAAGGTGATTTTCTTAGTTCCATTAATACAGTATACAGAATTCAGAACTACTAACCAACTTTAATTCTGTTATTCCAGTCTCTGGGACAGATAAGTCCAATTATTCCTGAGTTGAGTTCATGATTCCGGGAACTAAGATACTACTGGGGGCAGGGGGGCAGAGCACTGCATTTCCCTGCAAAGGCAAGAAGGGCAAAAAATGTTGTTCCTGACTTGACTGCAGCATGTCCTGTTGCTGCACATGGAAGCTTTGCTGCTTCAATTGTTTTAACTCTTTTTAATTTGTGTGGTGGGTGTGTTGTTGTTTGTTTTTATTGAATGAGAGGAGATCTCGTGTTGGGGAGAGCAGGGAGGTTCCCCAATTGCAGTGGTTCAGGGTGGGGGGAGGTATGGTGTGGGAGGTGGTGCAGGCTGGGTAAGGGGCAAATGGCACAGGCAGTTATTAGTATTATTAAATTTGTTTATATCCTGCCTTTTTCCTAGACTGGGTCTCAAGGCAGCTTACAGATAAAATAGAAACAGCTAAAAACGTAGATTTATATTGGGGGTGGGCAAACGTCCGCGACTCCTCTTGTTTTATTCAAGTATGTTTACCCTACATTTTCAAATAAAGTGCTTGGCATACATACAGAATAAAAGACAAAGTTAAGTGACTGTGCCACGTGCCAGCTCCTCCTCCAACCTGGGGGATGGTGGTTGTCCTATCAGCCAACCCTTGGGTCTGTTGATGAATGCCAGGCTGGCTTGGAGTAAGACCTCCCTCACCCATGACCTGATTGTGGATGAGGAAGCCTATCTGGTCTCATCACTGAGCCTGGACAGGTGAACAGAGCAGAGTTGATCTCACCCAGCTGTCCCCACCTGGGTAATAATAAATAATAATAAATTTTTATTTATATCCCGCCCTCCCCAGCTGAAGCTGGGCTCAGGGCGGCTAACAACAATCAAAATAATCCAACATTCTAAAAACATTCATTATAAAATTAATTAAAATCAAATTAATGGCAACCATTAAGCCACATTCTGTGCAGATTGCCAGAGGAGGGGGTCAGGCTGTGCCCTGACCAAAGGCCTGGTGGAACAGCTCTGTCTTGCAGGCCCTGCGGAAAGATGTCAGGTCCCGCAGGGCCCTAGTCTCTTGTGACAGAGCGTTCCACCAGATTGGAGCCGCAGCCGAGAAAGCCCTGGCTCTAGTTGAGGCCAGCCTAACCTCTCTGTGGCCTGGGATCTTCAGGATGTTTTTATTTGCAGACCGTAAATTTCTCTGTGGGACATACCAGGAGAGGCGGTCCCGTAGGTACGAGGGTCCTAGGCCGTATAGGGCTTTGAAGGTACTTAGGGCAGCAGCATCAGGACAGATTTGAGTGCTGGGGAGGAGGAGATACTGTGGTCCAGAGATTTTTCTCTCCCTCTCTCTCCAGGCTGTTTGTACACTTGGTGGGAAATCTAGAGCGTGTGTTCCTGGCACTGGACAACCAGGACAGAAAAGGGGATTCTGCTGGTTTACCACCTGCCTCGCTGCCAAGCAGTCTCCCTGCCTGAGCTGACAGAGATGGTTTTAAAGGCAGTGTTGAGCACTCCCAGACTGCTGGTTTTGAGGGACTTCCAACAGCCATACTGAAGCAACTGTCTCTGGGGTGGCTTAGGACTTCATGGCTGCCACGACCATCATGGGGCTGGTTCAACATGTCATTGGTGCATTGCATGTGGCAGGCCACACACTGAACCTTGATTTCTCAACCGGTCAGGAACGTTTTTATACCCGAAGGAGCGTCTCCACCCCCATCGTCCATTCTGTACACTGAAGTCCAGCGCTGAGGGCCTTCTGGCGGTTCCCTCACTGCGAGAAGTGAGGTTACAGGGAACCAGGCAGAGGGCCTTCTCGGTAGTGGCACCCTCCCATGAGATGTCAAGGAAATAAACAACTGCCTGACTTTTAGATAATATCTGAAGGCAGCCCAGTTCAGAGAAGTTTTTAATGTTTGATGTTTTATTGTGTTTTTAATATTCTATTGGGAGCCGCCCAGAGTGGCTGGGGAAACCCAGCCAGATGGGAGGGGTATAAATTATTAATAATAATAATTTGATCTGAAAGTGGAGGATATGGACATCAGTTCCTTGTCAAGTTCAGATCACTGCCTTTTCAGCACCTTTCTCCTCTGCAGAGCCAGGGGGCTTATTAGGATGGTCTGCCCTTGGAGACTGATGGATCCAGTGGGTTTCAAGGTGATTCTGGGGGATTTTCCAGTTACTATGACTGGTTCTCTTGTCAAAGTCCTGACCAACCTCTGGAACATCTGAATGGCTCAGGCTGCTGACATTATAGTTCATGAGCAACTTCTCTCATTTCACAGAGCCTGCTTGGCTCCTTGGTATAGTCCAGAACTTAGGACAATGAGACAAGCTACAGCAAGGCCTGAATGCAAGTGGAGGAAAACTGGGACTGTTTCTGAAGATGGTTCAGAAACTTCAGGTGGTGCAGAATTTGGGGGTTACGTTGCTCACCAGAGCAAGACGAGTTTGAGCATAGAATGCCAATCCTGGCTTGGGCTTGACTGCACTGGCTGCCAATTAGTTTCTGTGCTGAATTCAAAGTGTTGGTTTTGAAATATAGAGCCTTAAACAGCTGAGGACTGCAATGCTCCTGCTCACTCCACTCATCCAGACCCTGGGAGACCAGGGTTGAAATCTCCAGCTAGTCATGAAGCTCACTGGGTGACCAGGCCCAGCTGCCATCTCCCAGGGTGGTTGTGAGGAGGATGAAATGGGGAGGAGGGGAACCAGGTGCACCACCTTGAGTTCCTCGGAAGATTAAGGTGGTATGTTAATGTAATAAAAATATTCATCTATCAAACAGCCATTGCCTTCACCTTTCTTCATACTTTTTGAGAGCATAGCAAAAGCAAACTAAAGGGAATTTTATCACTAAAGGGGATCTTTATTTTCCCTTTATTGATATGAATTTTCCCTTCACACCTGAAAGACTAACACAGCCCCTTTGTAATTGCAATTTTCTTATTTCACCCCTCCAAAATATATGGGAAAACGTATCTAATATTTACAAAAGGTAATCCATTAGAATAAATATTGTTTTTATGTGCCATAATCTCTTCTTCATTCCTACCTGAGTCAGGGCAGCATCATACATTTTACAGGCCTCATTACTTGTGGTTGAAAGAAGAAGTCCCGCATCCTGCCAGGCCTGGAAGGCAAAAGACACTGCTTACTTTATCTCCGATGTAGAAATATTAACATTCTGGAAACTCTGAAGTCATAACAGAAAAACACTTAAAAAATTTTACACACACACACTTAAATTTTATATACTGCTTGAGTGTAGTAAAATCTCAAAGCAGTTTAATAAATACATGAATTGTTAACTGTCCTGTGATCCTCAGATGAAGGGTGGTATTGAAATTTAATAAATAAAAAAATAATTTAGAGCATTTGTACCCTTGCTCTTCAGCCAAAAAAGGCTCCCATAGAAACTCGAATACAATCAATTAAAACAAGACAGCTTCAGTCTGCAGGTTTACAATCCCACAAGCGCTGCCGCCAAGGGGAAAGGGACCGGGAGGGAGGAGGAAAGAAGCAAACTCAGGCACCAGCGGGCAGAGAGAGGGCCCAGGGGCAAGAGGCAGAAGATGGGGCTGGTCTGGAAGAAGCCCTGCCCACCATCACGCCCACCAAAGCAATCCATCTGACTTACCCATCATACCTAAAACTGAGGAGTTTAAGAACATTAACCGTATTAAGGTTCAACAATGCATTTTCCCACAGAGCCTCTAAAATCTCTCTTCTGCTATTACAGTGTCATCATGAGAAGGAAATGTGTCAGTGAGCATTTTGGTCAATGTATAACCAGATGACAAGAGAACCTTTGAGCCTCAAGTGAAAATGCCCTGACATAGTTCATGCAATTATCCTATTGTCTCTGCAGGTTTGAGGAAGAAATTATGACCAAACACAAACACATTTTATGTCCACGGACTTTTACCACAGTTTAATTTTCCAGTATGCTGTGTTTTATCTCTGCCTTTTTAGTTAACAGCTGCATTGTGAAACCTTTATGTTTCTGAACGTAGATTATACAACTTACAAAGATTCAAAATCATTACTGCATTGAGCAGATTAAGGCTGCGATCCTAGCCTCATTTCCTGGGAGTAAGCACCGTTGAATTCAACAGGACTTGCTTCTGAGTCGCATCAAATAAAGCATTTCCAAAGGGCTCCTGTTGAAAGTTTCCCATTTCCACGGCGTAAAGAACACCTGCTCTTTCTCTCGAGGAAGCGCAGCGGGACCCTGGCCACCAAGTCGCGCTGCAGGCAAAGCCAACCTTCTCCCTTTCCTCCGCGCTCTCTCCGCGCCTTCGCCCCCCATTTCTCACCCCGGAACTGAAATGCCGGTGGGAGCCGCGCCACTCACCTTGCAGTCGCGGAGATGCGCCATGTTCCCGCCGAGAAGACAGGCTTCGCTCTCCGCCCCGGGAGCCGCCGCCCCGAATCCGGAAACGGGCGTCGGAAAAGAACACGGAGGAGCGAAAGGCGAGGTTGCGGCGCCCCCTGGCGACTCCCTCTCGAAAGAGGGGCTTTGCCGGAGGAGCGAGCCTGGCTGCCCGCGTCCTCGGGGGGCTGGGGCTGGCCGGGCGCGGGGGGCGCGGGGAGGCGCCCGGCTGCCCGAGGGGCCGTGAGAGCCCCGCGTCCTCCGGGCGCACCAGCTGACTGGCTTTGCGTGGCTTGCGAGGATGCTCCCTTTTTATTTTTAGAGGAAGTGCATATTTTATTGCCCAGTTTGGGGTACGTGTCTTAAACGGAAAGCATTTAGATTTGGGCCACTTTAATTTCTTAAGTGTGCCGAGAATGTAGGTGCGCGCGTACTTGTTTCAAATGTGTGGTGCATACACGTGGACCTCTCGGGATTCTTGGGGCGGGTGGGGGGGGGGGAACGAGCTCATGGCTTCCTGCTCAGGCTTTGCTCTGGTGGAAATAACGACCTCATCAATGGTGTTAGGGAAGCTTCTTTTGTTCCCTTTTTGTAGCAATGGCCTGCTATTCTGTCACAGAGTCGCAGAGGCCTTCATCCTCTCCCTGACCCGTCTGGATTTCAAGGTCAGACCCCCATCGGAGTAGGGGAAGGAATACAGTGGCCCATCACTCGGTGGCCTTTTCAGGGTGAAACTAGAAAGTTGTGAGAATTGTGTGATGCCAGTGTGACTGGCTGCCAGTGGCGTAGCGTGGGGGGTGCAGGGGGGGCCCGGCCGCACCGGGCGCAACATCTGGGCTTAGGGCAAATCCACAGGTTAGGGGGCGCAAATCCACGGGTTAGGGGGCACAAATTACTTGCCTTGCCCCGGGTGCTGACAACCCACGCTACGCCACTGCTTGCTGCAAATGCATAACTGGGGGGTGGGGGTGGGGTTAGGCAATGTTAGGTTTTCAACATCACAATCTATCATCAGCCAAACATAATGGTTTGGCTATAAACCACCTCAGCTCTCCCCACGGGAGCTGAGGCGCTTTCACCCCAGCGCTTTGCAGGCCTGGCGCTCAGCTCCCCAGATGAGCCAGTCCATCTCTCTTTCCGTGGGGCTCCTTTCTGAGGCTTCCTTTGCCGGCATGGGAGCAGGTGAGCTACCTCTTTCTTCCCGCTCGCCCCCCACTCCCTGAGGATGGAACAGGCGGCACTAGCCAAGTGCACAGAACCTGATGTGTGACTGGGGGGCGAAGTCTGCAAGGCCCAGGGTGCAAAGCCACCCCATCTGTGGCTTGCAGAGTGGGCTGCTGGCCTGCAAGCAGGAGCGGGATGGGGGCTCTTTCAGCTGGGGAGCGGGAGTGAGTCTTTTGGTGCTGTGCACACCAGCTGGCTGGCACGACATTGCAGCCACACCAGCCTGGCCAGGTGGAGACATTAGGCACTGACCTGGCGCCTGGACACCTCCATTTCCTCACAAAAGGCTGGCACCCAGCTAATTTTGAACGCTGCCTGAGATTTGCTGGAACTGAGTTCTGGCATATTCCAGCTGAAAAAAGCCCTGTTTACATCTGTCCTGTTATGTACTGAGTTGAATAGGATCCAAAATGCAGCAGTCTGATTGGTCCTAGAACAATAGGATCCAAAATGCAGCAGTCTGATCAGTCCTAGAACAATAGGATTCAGAATGCAGCAGTCTGATTGGTCCTAGAACAATGCAGCAGTATGATTGGTCCGCAGGAGCCACCCAATCCAGCTCCAGGTGGAAGTGAATCCACAACCTGATTGGCCTACAGGAGAACCCTGGAATTAGCCAATCACGTGTGGTCCACTGTGTAAATAATGTATATAAAACAGATTTTTTTTGGGGGGGGGACTTTCATTCCTCCTCACGACTATGAGCTGAATAAAGAGCATGAAATCCACTCTTGCCTCTGAGTATATTTCATGTCCCTCAACTTGTTTAATTTCCCTAGCTCTGATGTATAGCAAGAAGCCAGATGGGCTCTACAAAGCAGGACCCTCCCCTTGTCATGGGGAGGGGGCTTGAATGTTCCCGTGACCCTTGTGAGCGAAGCCGTCCGGAGTCTCGTACTCCTGGTAGGGTCACCCAAGGCGGTAAGGTCAAGGGGAAAGAGTTAGACCAGGGGTCAGCAACCTATTTCAGCCGTGGGCTAATCCACTGTCCCTCAGACCTTGGGGGGGGGACTATTTTTTGGGGGGGGCGGGACTGAACGAATTCCTATGCTCCACAAATAACCCAGAGATGCATTTTAAATAAAAGGACACATTCTACTCATTTAAAAACACACTGATTCCCAGACCGTCCATGGGCCGGATTTAGAAGGCAATTAGGCCGCATCTGGCCCCAGGGCCTTAGGTTGCCTATCCCTGCACTAGACAAAGAATGATCCAGGAAGTCCTCAATGGCAAAATAGGCAGAAGATAAGTGACATGTTACAATGGCTGTGAAGGCAAATGAAGGCTGCAGCATGCTATCGTAACAGAGCCTTACTGCAAAGACTGTGCGGTGGTCAGCATGCACTGATCTGATTCATGCACAGGCATCTTCCAAAACCCCATAACGGACTCACTGTTAATACTGTCTTCATGGAAGACAATCTTACTCTGCTACAAGTGATCAAAGAAGAAAAAGAAGAAGGTAAAGCAGGAGAGGGCACGTAGGAGTGATCATGGCCCAAGGGCATTTGTGTATTCCACAAGTCAGCCAGGACTTCAGCATAGCAGCCATAAGGTTCTGAGCCGCCCCAGAATTAATGGAACCAACAGTCTTGGAGTCCTCCACTCCACCTCCAAGACTATCTCTGTCAGCTCAGGCAGGGAGACTGCTGGGCAGTGAGGCAGAATCCTTAATCTGTACCAACTGTCCAGTGCCAGGCACAAGCCCTCTAGGTCTCCATTCAAGCAGGGCAAAGCCTGGAGAGAAAAACAATTCCTATGGACTACAGTAAATTCTATCTGACCCCAGAGTGTGCCCAGTGCTCCACTGAATACCCAGGTGGGCGAAGCAGGGTGAGACCATCTCCACCGTGCTCATCCAGACAGGTCTTGATAATGCAAACCAACTCGGCTTCCTCATCCATAATCAAATCATGGATAAAAGAAATACATCAGTAATAACAACTTTTGATACAAAATAGCAACAGGAGCGAATTTCAACTCATCTAAAACTTTAACCATATCATTCATATAAAAATTAAATTTAGAAATGTCAATATATATTCTTGCTGATGCTAACAAGTGTCTATATTTTCTAGGTAATTTTAACCTATACAGTGGTACCTCAGGTTACATATGCTTCAGGTTACATACACTTCAGGTTAAGAACTTTGCTTCAGGATGAGAACAGAAATCGTGCTCTGGCGGCGCGGCAGCAGCATGAGGCCCCATTAGGTAAAGTGGCGCTTCAGGTTAAGAACAGTTTCAGGTTAAGAACAGACCTCTGGAACGAATTAAGTACTTAACCCGAGGTACCACTGTACTGATGTATAGGAAATAGGCGACTATATTACTGTTTATAATTTCTGACCCAGTGGGAGTCTATCGATATTACTGCATGCTACTTTCAAATCAATGAAGGCAAAATAATAGCCTATGGAATTTCTAAAATGCAAACAGCCAGCAATTTATTCAAGTAAATATACATAACCTTTTATTCATTTGTACAGCACAAACATAATCATTGCTTTATATTTAAAAAGATCAAGATCAACTTGTTATATATATATATATATATATATATATATATATATATATAGAAGAGGAATCAGGAATATAAAGAAAGAAATGTTACTTCTGTATTGCACGTGAACCTTAGTTGCTTGGGGCAACAGGTAAAAGATTCTAGAATTAAAACAATTATTGTGTGTGGAACTGTTGGTGCTGGTCGTCAGCTGCTGCTCCTGAACCATCAAACCAAAGATGCTTCTTGTCTTCCTCTTCTGTTACTGTTCTCAGTATGCAACAGCTGCACCCTTTCGTTTTCTACCACCCCCACTGTTGGTCACCTGCTCAAACCCACAACACCGTGTCTATCAGAAGCATGACAATGAACTTCGTGTTTCATGCTTCTGGGATGAGAGAATTGCCCTGAAGTATTCAAGAGCCCAAAGTCTGCCTTCAGAGATCAAGGAGGAAAAGCTGGACACCGTACCCCCTCCTCACTGTCAATGGTACCAAGACTCCATCTTGGTAAAGAATACAAATCGCTGGTCAGGTGAGCTGGTGTTAGGTGCAGCTCTGACTCGGGGAGGCCTCCATCCACCATGGGCTTCTATTCGTATCACAGTGCAGTGTGTATCTGTTTCGTGCCATGTAGCCACATGTGCTCATAAGAACCTGACAATTGAAATTTCCAGGCAGGATGTCCGTCTTTTCCTTCTCTCGCCACGTACTTTACCTATTCATGAGTGGCAACCAGTGCAGCTGGGTTGGTGTGCACGCCTCAAGAGTTCCACCTGGAGTTACCGCTTCAAGAGTCAAGGGGGTATTCCTGAAGACCTCCTCATCCCCAGCAACCTCTATAGCGAGCCACTTGCACCTACTGTTTATCCTCATGCAGAAATGCACCAAGCGTGTACATCATATTACAGCTACTACATAACTGTACGCTACCACCTCCATGGATTCTACACCGCTTCACTCCATATTGAGAATGGGCCTCCACTTGGACGTAGCCTGAGCTTCTATGTGCAGCCTACTCTGCTCCATGTGTTCAGCACCTCCTCCACACTGCTCAGCCTTCCTCATAGGACCCTCAATCTTTCATGGACTCTCCAACCCCTCAGCTCCAAAATAACAGCTTACACACTGGTGGATTTGCAAGGTGTGGAGGAATGGTCTGACTCCTACAGATATAATCCTTTTGCTCTGCAAAGTGATTTCTGTGCTGTTCGCAAACCACAAAATTCCAGGGAGAAAGTGGTGGCCAGTGTCTATTTTCGTACTAATGAGAAGATGCCTGAACAACTGGCGGGAAAACTTGATTTCTTTAATGAGACTTTGATTTTCAGAGCAAGCACCGGAGCCGCAACTTATCTCACACTCAATCCACAGAAAACCAGAAGAGGCATCTACATTTTTAGCCATACACTGGGATTGTACT